CTCCACCAAAAATACAAAAAAATTAGCTGGGTGTGGTGGCAAGCACCTGTGGTCCCAGTTACTTGGGAGGCCGAGGAGGAGAATCACTTGAATCCAGGAGTCAGAGGTTGCAGTGAGCAGAGATTGTGTCACTGCACTCCAGCCTGGGTGACAGCATGAGACTCTGTCTCAAAAAGAACAAAAACAAAAAAAGAAAAGAAAGGCTTGGAGCTTGGGATAAGAGGAACATCAATCTGCTTGATGCCATGCCAACGGATCTATAACCAGACACAGAGGAAAAGCATCTCTGAAATAATGAAAAATACCCTTCTACTGTAGGTGCATTTGGGTGAATTCCCATACATTCTACTATCTGCTGCAGCTGCAGAGCTCCACGGGTATCGAGATCACAGGCCTGGGCTTATTTATAACAAGCGTATCAACATGTATAGAATAAAAGGGAAAAGAAGTCTACCTGAATAATGAAAAGTTTTAATTGTGGAGTATCAGCAAATAAAGTTCTGTCACTTACCAAATCAATTTTGGGCAAGTCAAAATAACTGAAGCTTGATTCCTTATCTATTACATGCAATTAATAATACCACTCTCCCTGTTACTACTACCATTCTGCTAATTAATAATACCATTCATCAAGGTTTTGCAAGAATTAAATGATATAATCCATGCAAAGCAAAACACTATACAAATTTGGGCTAAAACAGATGTGAGTCCCTTGAGGACTTAAACATGGAAAGGGAAAAATTAATATGTATCTCTTTAAATTATGACTTGTAGATACCATCAAAACATTGCAAAACTATTACTCTTTTGAGAGTTGTAGGTCATATAAACCATTGCATTTCTTGAGTCAAACTGCCTTTTTTTTTTTTTTTTGCTCTTTCAATATAGGATAGGTTTAAATGAAAACTTAGTGTCATTTTGACATATGACGGTGTGTGTGTGTGTGTGTGTGTGTGTGTGTGTGTGTGTGTTGGGGGGAGTAAGTTGAAAAAAATTAAAGCACTTTATGTGCCAGTTATCAATATAATGGCTCTCAGCTCCAAATCCACCCTTCTTTGCCCTGCTTTGTGATAAATGGACATGGGTGGACTCTAAACATCTGTTGACACAATGACCATTAAGCTTTACCAACAGAGGGCTTTGGAGGGTCTCTGGAGTGAAAGTGACAGGAAAACCGTTCCCTTCTAGTCCTAGTCCTGTCATTATTATTGGGGGTGGGGTGGGGGTGGAGCTACATGGATAGTTCCAGTTGTGCCCTCAGGCCACCTTTCCACCTTTCCACCCGGCCCCACCCTCCAGTTTTAATGGACTGTTGTTCCAGGTTAGCACCGCCTGTGCCCTCTGGCCAGTTTCTTCCCCAATGCGGACTGTGGTCCAGGGGTAGGAAGGTCCTCTTTGAAGAGGTCTGTTAGCTTTGGAGGAAAGGGGGTCCTTCTACACTTCTTCCATTATTGTCTTCTCTTCCTCAGCAAGGGGGCCAGAAGTCAAAGCCCAAGGACACATTGAGGTGGGAATAATTAAATGAGGACACTGAAAGACTATATTCTTAGGGGGAGATTGAACCAGAAGCCACTTCAAACCCTCCCTTAAGGCTCAAGGAACTGTGTGAACATTGAATGGGACTAAGAGGTCACTGGCAGTCAGCTATCCTGTCTATCTGAAGCCCAAATTCTTATCACTAGGCTGATCTTGGAAAACCAACCTGTTAATTTATAAGTGGTTCCAAACTCTAAAACTGGAAAAAAAAAAAAAAAAAAAACAAAAAAAACAAGAGAATTAAAAGAAGTTCTCAGATTCAGAAGTAACTTAACTGCCTGCCAGAACAAGGTCCAACAAATTTGAAAGGAAGGAAACACACTCTAGATTCCACAGTAAAGGTCAGGAAACTATAACCTGTGGCTAAATCCAGCCTGTTTGTTGTTGTAAATATAGGTTTGTTGGAACACAGCCATACTCACTCATTTATATATTGCCTATGGCTAATTCGAGGCAGAGTACACAGACCGTATGGCCCACGAAGCCTAATATCTGGCTCTTTACAGAAGTTTGCCATGCGCCTTCTGGCTTAGACCGTTAACATTTGATGTAACTATTGATGTGGTTGGATTTAGGTGTACCATTTTATTTCTTCTGTTTGTCCCTGTGATTTTGTTTCACTACTTTTTGTTTCTGGTTCATTAGTATTCCAAATAAAGTAATTTAGTATTCTATTGGCTGTCTATATTTTTGAAAAAATGCTTGCTCTAGGAATTATAATATTCATACCTAACTTTTCATAGTTGACCTTTGCTGTCGAGTTCTAGATTGTGTTTCCTTCCTTTAAAATTCATTGGACCTTGTTCTGGCAGGCAAGAGTTCATATTATTTCTAAAATCATACTTCATATGAAATGTAAAAGCCTAGCAGTCAGAAACTGGAAACAACTCTGAGACTAGGCATATATACGGACGATGGACAAGCTTCTGTGACAATAGAACTCTCACCCACGCCTTCTGCAGCAACCAGTCCTGGAAGCCAAACCACAATCTCCACAGCGATCCATTCAGAATGGTCAAGACTTACTCAGTTACTGTCATCATCCCTCTTCCAACTTGGGACCAATCAGAGAAAGCCAAATAGGTTCCCCAAAACAATCCTGTAAGACACCTGCGGCTAGCTGGTCAGCCTCCAGCTTCCTCATGCCAACACTCTCCAAGCAGAGCATTCCTGAACCTTGCCCCTTTTCCCCCCACTATAAACCTACCTGCCTTTGAGTCTGCTAAACACAAGAGATTGTGGCTAATTCCTTTGCTACAGCAAGCTCCAAATAAAAAGTCTGTTTTTCACATGTTTGGTCTTAATTTTTACTTCAAGTGCTCACCAACGGTGTAAATTATTGATAGAATCATGTAGTGGATTAGTGTAGAAATAAAAATAAACAAGCTACAGTTACAATTTGAATTGTATAAACATGCTGAGTGAAAGATGGCAAAGAATATGTACAGCATTTCACTTAATTTCCTTAACTGTCATGAGTTCAAAAGAACAAAATGTACTCTTTCACTTTGAAAGGTTGAAGCAGGAGGATTTCTTGAGGCCAGGAGTTAAAGACAAGCCCAGGCAACAAAGCAAGACCATGTCTCTATTTAAAAAAATAAAATAAAATAAAACATTAAAAATGATAATTCTCCCAGGCTTTGCAGATTGGGCATTCCTTCAGCCCAATCTGACTTGGGCATTCCTTCAGCGCTTAGCCAGGCCACCTAAATTCTGCTTTAGCTTCCACCTTCTGCTTCTGTGGAGCCTAACGATCAGTCAGAGGTGAAGGCCTAGAGTCCTCTCAGGTCTTTTCCAAAACTGTGCCCAGTGCTAGGCATGTGTGTGGCCTTCCAGAGGCCACTTAGTACAGACAAGGGCCCTTCTGAGCCTTCTCTCTCCCACATATCTTCCTCCCAGTTACTTCCTTCCCGAGGTTTTTCGTGTTTGCTGCCTGCCCCATTTGCTGTCCCCAGCCCCAGATGGCTGCAGGTAATGCTTCTGATAAGCACTGTGAGGCTGTTCTATTGTGGAGGGGGCAAAACAAAGGCAAACCTCTGAGCTGAACCTTCAGAACTGCCAGGCAGGTCAAAGCACACTCACATTTCTGTGAGAGCAAGATCTGTATTGCTTGCTCTGGCACCATCAAGATGCACTAGGAACACAGGACACTGTCCTCTCAGCTGTTGCCTGGCTGGGAGACAGGGCATGGTAGGTACGTAAGCAAAACCACAAAAACCCTTTTACCAAAGTTAAATAGCCTCTTCATTAAGCATTCCTCTGGTTGTTGTTATTAGATAGTAGAGATCCAAAAATTGATCTGAAGTTTTTGCTAGCAATGGTTGTTTCAGTGGCGGGACAGATCTTTGGAGCTCCCTCTTTTGCTATTTTTGGTGATGTCACTATATAAGATTTTAAAATGATTAACTTTTATAAATAGAGGATAGGTTAGTGGCTGTCAGGATTTGAGGGAAGGATGCAGGAAAGAGGTATGTATGCTTATAAAAGAGCAATGTGAGGGATCCTCATGGTGGTAGATATATGAACACAAGTGATAATACTGTTTAGATCTAAATACACAGAATACAAAACTGGGGAAATAAGATGAATGGATTGTATCAATATCAATATCCTGGTGGTGATACACTATAGTTTTACAAAATATTAATAGTTGGGGAAACAGGGCCAAGTGTACAAGAGATCTCTGTATTATGTCTTACAATTGCATGTGAATTTACATTATCTCAACAAAATTTCTGACTAAAAAGAATTCAGGGGCCAGGCTCAGGGGCTCATGCCAGTGATCCCAGCACCTTGGCGGGTTGAGGTGGACGGATCTGTTGAGCCCAGGAGTTTGTGACCAACCTGGGCAACATGGAGAAGCCCCATTTCTACAAAGAAATACAAAAATTAGCTGGGCGTGGTGGGACATGCCTGCAGTCCCAGCTACTTGGGAGGCCGAGGTAGGAGAATCACCTGAGCCTAGGAAATAGAGGCTGCAGTGAGCTGTGATTGTGCCACTGCACTCCAGGCTGGGCAATTAAGTGAGACCCTGTCTCAAAACAAAACAGAACAAAACAAGGATTCAAAAAAGATTCAAACTGGAGAAGATGAGGTTTTAGGAATATATTACCCAACTTATTTCTTATAATTTCTCTTTTTTAGTATCCACAAGTTACGTGATAAAAATCTTATGTTTAAATAAATCTAAACTAGCTCTTCTAATAAGTAAAATTCAAAATAAGAAAGCACCATACTATAATTGATTCCGATCTTCTCTTCTAGTTGTATGTGAAATAACAGGGCATCTTACAATTAATGGCAACTTAGATTTGATGATTTATGGCAGGTGTTTGGAATGAGGTTGACTTAAGTCTATTTTGACTCATGATGCCAGCCTTGGCACTAATCAACAAAATGTCTCCAGTAAACAGTGACAGTATCTCTTGGTGTAACAAGATAAAGGAGAAAGGAGTCAGGAAGCATATGGTACTCATCCATGTTTCTGTTTATCTATAGGATAACAAATTCAGGAACAATGGGAAAGTAATAATGAAACCTTAATAGGAAATACAATAGAGATTACGAAACACTACCATTTGATTTTTTATGCAAATACTTCAATATTCCAATATTTTTACTCACTTGCTAAATAAAGCACATAACTCAAAATGCTAAATAATCCTGTTTGTCTAAATCTTTTAAAGAATAAAATGGTGAAAAACCAAAATTGCTTAGTTAGGTATATATGACATTGTTTATTATCTATCATAGACATCAAGATGATCATAGTTAATACCAATTTAAGCTTTGCAGAATACTGTTTTAGGCCCAATATTGATATATTAAATGACGGTATCAGAGAATCTTGTATTTATGGCATTAGGTTATAAAGATCTATTCAAAACCATTTTTGTCAAAGTTTAAACACTGGAACAAAAGTCAAATTGTTTCTAAATGTGACACAAAATGATTCTTGCTAATAGTACAAATTTTGTACCATGGGTAATATTATTGTCTTTTTCTTTTTTAAAAAAATCATTTCCATTTTTCTTTTAGATTCAGGGAACACATGGGCAGGTTTGTTAGCTGGGTATACTGTATAATGCTGAGGTTTGGGGTACAGATGATCCTGTCACCCAGGTAGTGAGCAGAGTACCCAGTAGGTAGTTTTTCAGCTTTTCCTCCCGCTCCCCACCCTACCTCCCCAGTGTCTATTGTTCCCATGGGTCCTCAGGTATTACTATTTTCAAGATTTTTTATTTACATAAAACTATTGAAAGCAAAAGTATGTCATGCTTATAGGTTACTTTGTACATTTATCATTCTATTAATAAACATCTTAAGTAATTAAGTAGTATATTAAGGTCATAAACCAAGTTGTTATCTCATATCAAAGGACTATTGTTATTCAATAATCTAGAAAATTCATTTTAGGCAGGACACAGTGGCTCACGTCTGTAATCTCAGCACTTTGGGAGGCTGAGGTGAGCGGATCATGAAGTCAGGAGTTCAAGACCATCCTGACTAGCATGGTGAAACCCTGTCTCTACTAAAAATACAAAAATTAGCTGGGCGTGGTGGTGTGTGCCTGTAATCCCAGCTACTCAGGAGGCTGAGGCAGGAGAATCGTTTGAACCTGGGAGGCAGAGGTTGCAGTGAGCTGAAATTGTGCCATTGCACTCCAGCCTGGGAGACAGAGACTCTGTCTTAAAAAAAAAAAAAGAAAATTCATTTTAATGGGTTATGTTACAGGGTTGAAGTCAGCCTAGAGACACAAAATAGGTTAACTGAAATTCTTTTTTTTTTTGGATCATGTTTTAGTTTTTTCATTGGAACAGGATTTGGGGGTGGGGATACTAAATGTGGCAGGGTTCAACAAATTTACATTTTATCAAAATAAGGTTCTTAATACAATGATAGCATATGCTTTAACTCTTATAGCACAAACCCTCAAAGTTTTAAAATACATAAATGACACAAGTTTCAAACAAAATGCAGTGATCAAAATACTTAACTGTCCTTTCATCAAGCTTTTACAAACACAATCAGTCTTCGCTGTCTGAGCAAATCAGTTTTAGTTTCTTCATGGTCCTCCATCTGTCTTTTAACATGACACTTGTCCGGTTGTTGAATTTATAATGCAGTAGTATTTTAGACCAGTTTCCCTCTCCATATTTCCTCACGCCAGATCTCAAATTCTTGTCTTCTTCCCAAAGCCATGCCTTTTGATAAAAAGTAAAACAGTTATTTACAGAAACAATTATTCAAAAAGAAAATACCTACTATAAATGCCAGTTTAAAAAAATCAAAATAATGCTTAGTTTCTTAAAGATGGAAGATTTCTCTAAACATTTCTTAGATTTTTTATAAGATTATACATTTATCATAACATTTTTAGGGGTCATTATTATTACCATTCATTTTATGTAAGCTCAGCTGCCCAAGATCAGATAGCTAGAAAGTGACAGCGCTACATGTCAACTCAATTTTTCTGACTTTAAGCCCACATTGTCTCTTAAAATGCTCTTCTACAATTGTTAATAGTTGTATTTATTATCCTCCAAATCTCCAAATAGGCTTTGTGAATGTTTAGTACTTCACTAATGAACTCAGTGAAAACCCTGTTCTGCCTATGTTAGGGGAAGTATTACACACCCATATAAAACTCAAATCTTGTCTAAAATACTTTCAAAAACACAACTAACTAATTAGGAACATTTAATTTTATGCTAAGAGAAAATTCCTAAACATTTTAAAAAATCAAATTTAATACTATACATAGAAAAATTACTGATACTTGGCATTTGCTACAGGGAACCAACTAATTATTCCTTCTGTTGGCATGCTGAAAGAGCAATATGACCATCTGCGTGATTATTTACTGTGTCTAGATTACAAGAAATTCTCCAGCACTTCACATTTTCCTTAAAAACCCTGTTCATCAACCCACACTCATTCAGATGGCTGCTAAGTGTTGGTGAGGATATGGATAAATTGGAACCTATGTGCACTGGTGGTGGGAAAGTAAAATTATAGCACCACTATGGAAAACAGTATGGCAGTTACCCAAAAAAATTTTAAAAGGACTACCATATGATCCAGCAATTCCACTCTGGGTATATATCTAAAACAGTCGAGAGCAGGGACCTGAAAATGTATTTGGTACATCCATGTTCATAGCAGCATTATTCACAATAGTTAAAATGTGGAAGCAACCCAACTGTCCATCAACTAATAAATGGATAAAGAAAATTATATTATATTACATGTTTATATAATTCAGCCTTCAAAAGAAGTTCTGACGCATTCTAGAACATGGATAAACCTTGAGGACATTAGGTTAGACAGAAAAAGACAAATACTATGCTACCTCTGATATGAGGTGGCTAGAACAGTCCAACTCATACACAGAAAGTAGAATGATGGTGGCAAGGGGGCTGGGAGGATGGAAATGGAGTTACTGTTTAATGGGTACGGTTTCAGTTTTGTAAGAGGAAAACAGCTATTGATAGATGGTAGTGATGGTAGCATAATATGAATATATTTAACGCTACCAAACTGTACATTTAAAAATAGTTAAAATGGCAAATGGTAAATTTTATATCATGTGTACTTCACTATAATCGAAGGAAAAAAAAATCCAGTTCAGTTGTCTGATGCAATATTAGAATTCAAGGTGACCTGAAGAAGACAAACATGACATGAGAACCATCTTGTGTATGACTCAGTACCAAAAAGTTGGCAGTGACCGTAACCAAACCCATGTAGAAGTTTGTTTGAGCTACCTTAAACCTGATCCCCTGTTCTTGCTATTCCTCTGCTTTGTGACTTAAATCCAAGATACCAGCCTGGTCTCTTCTGTACCTGCTTTTGCTTTTGTTTGTCTGTGGCACACCTATCAGCAACTGTGCTGCTTACAAGTACATGGCTATTCAATCGCTAGACAAAGGTTGACAGCCTCCTATAACCATCTATTAATGCCTGACTCAGCCTTCACTCCTACAAAACCTCACTACACTGCTTGTCATTAACTGACAAAAACCAAGAGATGTATTAATAAATTTTTCATGTGTCAGGTGATTGATTAAAAGCACTTCAACAGTGGGTTATTAATCTTTGGGGTCATATAAATCTTGTAGATCTGGCCGGGTGCGGTGGCTCAAGCCTGTAATCCCAGCACTTTGGGAGGCCGAGATGGGCGGATCACGAGGTCAGGAGATCGAGACCATCCTGGCTAACCCGGTGAAACCCTGCCTCTACTAAAAAAAATACAAAAAACTAGCCGGGTGAGGTGGCGGGCGCCTGTAGTCCCAGCTACTCCGGAGGCTGAGGCAGGAGAATGGTGTAAACCTGGGAGGCGGAGCTTGCAGTGAGCTGAGATCCGGCCACTGCACTCCAGCCTGGGCGACAGAGCGAGACTCCGTCTCAAAAAAAAAAAAAAAATCTTGTAGATCTACTCCACAGAAAAGTGTAGGTATCTAAAATTTTATATACAAATTTGGGGGCCACATAGACTCCCTTTAAAGAGCCTATCAACTCCATGGTCTCCAAGTTAAGAATTTTTTTCTTTCAAAAACTTGTCATATACATTATTCAGCTTTAAAAATTAGTTTGTGGTTTAGGCAAATTTCATACACATATACGGCATTGTTTTCTTGTTCTTATCTGAGCTGTAGTATTTTTAATAAGGTGCACAGATGACGTTTGATAGGACAATACAAAAGCCCCTTTCTTTCAAGAAATGACCAATGTTCTCTGAATCCTATTTGGGGTCCTGGGTGCAGTATATTTAGGCAGTATTTTCCAATGTATCATCTATAGCAAGGGTCAGCAAGCCACTGCCAAAACCCAGGCCAAGGCTGGTTTTCTACAGCCCTGGAGCTAAGAACCATTTTTAAATTTAAGTCATTTAAAAAATATATTTAAAATATGTAACAGAAACTATGTATGTGAAATATATGTAAAATAAATATATTAATAATATATTATAAATCTTGCTCTTTATAGAAAAATTTTGCTCACCCCTAACCTAGAGGAAAGTAGTAATGTTGTCAGTACAGATTAACTGAAAACTAACAGTGTTTAGCATTAAGTATTTTGTTTTTTTCTTCTATTGAAAAAGAGTAACTTTAGCTTGATATAATGTTACTTCATGGTTGATTGTGCCTTTATTATTTTGCTTGATTTAAATGTTTTCAGTCTTTGTTTAATTTTACCTGTGACTAAAAGAGTTTTGAAAACATCATACACAATAAGCTATCATCTGGCAAGTAAGGAAAGCTGTGATTTTTAAGTTTAGAGGTTCAAGTGGCCTAGTAGTCACTGGTACCAACTCCTACTTTCTATAGCTAGAGTTGAATGAGTGACACAACTAACCTATCAGTGTCAGATCAGAAAGAAAACATAAGGGCAGTACAATTTCATAAAGTCTACTACCATGCTTAAAACTTTCCATTTCCTCATTTTATACATTTAACTGATTGTACCAGATTCCACTGATAGTAATAGTTAGGGGAAGAGTTTAAGATGATGTATTTCTGGACATTAAACCCATACAAGTAATTTCCTTTGTTTTATTGTCATTTGTCTTTTATTTTCTAGAAAAATCAAATACAAAATCATAACAACTCCAGCCATGCCAATAGCCTGAAAAGATACAAAGAGCACGTAACAAATTAAAACACACCAATCTTTTTCTTTCCCGAGGCTAGAGATGATATAACTCAGATCTGAAAACTGTATATCCATTCTAAAGAACAAATAATGCTTTTTAATGCCTTAAAATGATACTACAAATAGTAAAAGAAAATACTGCTACAGTATTTCTCATTATATACTGTTTACGGAAAACAGTTTGAAAGGCATTTACTTTTCGTCTTTAATGGAATAAATTTATAAAAGGAGGGCTCTTTAATTCTGATAAGGAAGGAAGAAATATCTTTAACAGACCAATGTAGGAAAAAGAAAACTGTCCAAGTAGACATGGGCTATTGCCGTAAGTTTTTTTTTTTAAAAAACCTCAATACAAAATAAAATTAAGTCTATCACTTACCTTCTAAAACAAGTATTTTAACAAAAGGCCAACAGCAGAAAGCTAAAAAATAAAACCAGGCCCTTGTGATATCCACAGAATTCTTTTTTGGCATAGGAAAGGGTGATAGATATTATCACTGATTACGTGGTTGATACCTTACATTTTGTTTTGAATAGAAGAGAAACAACAGTTCTCTTCATATTTATCTGCAAATAACACCTCATTTGGAATGCCTGCTGGAAGAACTCCAGGGAAAGATCAGTTATATGTGTAAGGCAGAGACTTCTGGTTTCCAGTCTCACATATGAAGAGCTTGGAAATCATCACTCCAGTCCCCAGAAGAAAAAAACTGTTGAACAAACTGAAAATCAGTAACTCTTCTTAGATACATCAAAGAATGAATGTCACAGGGCAAACTGCTGCCCTGAAAACTAGAGAAAGAGAGAGGCAGACTGAGAGAATCACAAGAATTACTGGGGACAGAAAGGCCAGGAGCAGAAGCTTACAGCTGGAGCCAATACTGGTAGAAGCAATTAACTGTGACTGAGGAACTGATGGAGGCTCAGTGTGGATAAGCTTGAGAGTTAAAAACTCCAGGGGCCCAGTTTCAGAGGGACTCACAAAGTTTTGGGAGTTTTATCTCCAGGAGCCCTACCAGGTCTCAGGGTAAAGATCAGACAACAATTCTTTCCTGCTTCTGACAGCAGGAGGGGAAAGGTAGCCATTTAGAAATACTCCTCATTTCAAAATAAATGAGGAGAGCGTTCTGGTCTCCTTAACAAAATCCTTTCCTCAAGAGAAACTAATTTTGCCAGAACCTAACCAACTGAGGTTTTACAAGAACCTAACTTACCTGTGGAAATACTCAATTCCACCCCTCTCTAGCCTTCATGTCTCACCCAAGGGGTGGTGGGCTGAGAAGCACTTATGAAGGTCACAGTCTAGAACACAGGCTTACTAAAAGAAGGGAGACCTATGCACAGGACTCCAGAACGCTTCACCTCCCCTTACCTTACCACCACATCAGTCAGGATCCTGGGCATTATAGTTGAAAGAGCTCCTTCAGATTCTTATTAAAAAGCAGTCTCTAGGGAAACCCAGAGACAAGAGAGACAAAAACAAGACACTAAAGGAAATTTTAGCCTTTGACACCTACAGCTACAGAAAACGATAACTCCCAGCCAGATAAACATAAAACCTCACATTAGGCCAGGTACGGTGGCTCACGCCTGTAATCCCAGCACTTTGGGAAGCCGAGGTGGGTGGATCACAAGGTCAGGAGATCGAGACCATCCTGGCTAACACAGTGAAACCCTGTCTCTACTAAAAATACAAAAAATTAGCCGAGTGTGGTGGTGGGCGCCTGCAGTCCCAGCTACGCGGGAGGCTGAGGCAGGAAAATGGCGTGAACCCGGGAGGCAGAGTTTGCAGTGAGCTGAGATCCTGCCACTGCACTCTAGCCTGGATGACAGAGTGAGACTCCATCTCAAAAAACAAAAAACAAACAAAAAAATAAAAAACTTCATATTAAAGGATCATTTATCTCATTTCCTTTTACCTGATATATCTAGCTATCAGCAAAATATTATAAGCATGCTAAAAAGCAAAAAACACAGTCTGAAGAGACAAAGGAAGCACCAGGACCACACTCAGATATGGCACAGATTTTGAAATTGTCAGACTTGGAATTTAAAATGATTATGATCAATATGTCAAAGGATTTAATGGAAAAAGTGGACAACATGCAAGAACAGATGGGTAAATGTAAATGGAGAGATGAAAACTCCAAGAAAAAACCAAAGGGAAATGCCAGAAATCAACAACATGGTAACAGAAATGAACAATGCCTCTGATGGGCTCATAAGTAGATTAAACGCAGCTGAAGAAAGAATCAGTACATTTGAAGATATATTAATAGAAAGTTCTCAAACTGAAAAGAGAAAAAAGAATGAAAAAAGATAAAGGAATACCTAAGAACTGTGGGACAACTTTAAAAGGTGTAACATTTGGAATCATAATGGGAACACCAGAAGAAGGAAAGGAACAAAAGAAAGATTTGAAGTAATAATGGCTGAGAATTTTCCAAAACTAAAGACAGCCACCAAACTACAGATTCAGGAAGCTCAGAAAACACCAAGCAGGATAAATAAACAAACTATATACATCATATTCAAACTGCAAAAAAAATTCAGTACAAAACGTATGCATGACTGTGGTCGCACATGGTAGCATAAGGTTAGCATTTCCCTCTTCTCCTTTGGGAATTCACCCAAAAGCAACAAGAAATAAAATCCTGAAATAAAACTCTGAAAAAAGTAAGAGGCATTTACAACCTGAACCATAATGTAGGTAGAAAGGGTATACATAATCAGTGTAACTTAGGTGTATGAAAAAGCAACTTTGTCTACAGATCTCAGGAAACATGTAGTGTATGCTTTTCTAATGAAAATACCCTGAGGTATACCCCCTAAATCTCTGGTCAGCAACAGCAGAAGCTCCCCTCAACCTACTAAAGGCCAGAGATGGCAAGGCTAAAAAAGGGAATCACAAAGGCAAGTAATATGTGTAGGAAGCAAATCAAAAGTAGAAGTTGCTTGCTATGTTCACTGGGGAAGAAATGAAGGGTAACATAACCTTGAGTCACAGAACATATTCCTAGTAGCCTGCAACTTGACACTATCCGCAACACCTCAGTACGAGCTATTTGCAATTAGCTTGTCAAAAAAAAAAGACACCTTCGAGTAAGAAAATGGTTCCAGCCAGAAAAGAAAACAAGGGCCTGAATGGGTGCAGTAGCTCATGCTATAGTCCCAGCACTTCTGGACCCCAAGGTGGGAGGATCACTTAAGCCCAGGAATTCAAGACCAGCCTGGGCAACATTGTGAGACACCATTTCTACAAAAAAAGGGGAAAACACACACACACACACACACACACACACACACACACACACAACCACAAAAACAATGACCAGATTTATCCATCTGCTGTGAACAACTAGACAATCAAAAAATATATAAAATAATAGTTTCGGACACTGGACAGATGGCACAAAACTATAGTCACTGAAAGTGGAAACAAATGAATCATGCCCTAAATTGATCCACCTTAATAAAATGTTGTGATCAAATGGTATCTTTTCTTTGTTTTCAAGTAAAGAAAAATCTTATTTAAATTGGATCCTTGTTAGGAAATTTAAATATCAAAGCTTATAATATGGAGTTAAGTCCCATCTTACATCTAATAAACAGATTTTATGATAGTATCACAATAATTCCAAATAGATGTCAGTACTAACACCCAACTTAAGACTTTTCAATGTGGGTGAAGTACTTCATTTTGAATAGGCTGATTAGTCACCTAATCTAAGATGGCAAAATAAAAGATGGCAAAGCGTAAATATTTTATACTCAAGATTTTTGGGAGGTTGAACAGAAATAATCACAATTATTCAAGTTATAACTTTAATGTCCATAAGTGTTATTCAAATATAAAAAAAACCAAATACCTGTTTTTTTCTAGCTCGATGTTTTTCAGGAGTTACCGGTTGACTCTTTGAAACAGGTATTCTGCTTTCAGTGGCTCTTCTGCTTTCTTTTTTCTTTTTTGTACCTAAAAGTAGAAAAATAATGTCATAAATATTGTTTCACATTAAAGAAAAAAGAGCAATTATATTTTTAATGATTATCATGAAATTCTTTTAAGCTATTCTAAGAAAAAGTACTCTACATGTTTGATTTTTTTCCTTCAAATCTGGAAGCAGTATGGTATAGTACAAAGAACAGTCTTTGAAATCAGATGGGGAGTGTTTTGAGACTTGATTCTTTTATATGTCTTTAAGTAAATCATTTCACATCCCTGAACCTGTCTTTTCATCATCTGTTTAAAAAAAAGGAAAAATATTTATTGCATAGGATCATTGAAATTTTCTTATGATAATGTTTTAGGAGTACTAAGAAGAATAATCCTTTCCTAACTCCTTCTTTCTTACTCATAGTTTGATAAGACAAGAAATAAAAGAAACAGAACTGTAAATATTGAAAAATGAATTGTTTGGGCAGAAAATCTAAGAGAATCTACAAATAGAATTAAAAGATCAGTAAGATCAATACACAAAAAGGATTTCATTCATTAGCAATAGGATTTCTAGTCATTAGCAGCAAAGAGTTAAAATAATTTAATTAAAACAATAGAAAGATACTATTTACAATAGCCACAAAAAATCTAACATTCTTAGAGATCACTTTTTTTTTTTTCCAAGAGATAGGGTCTCTCTGTTTCGCCTAGGCTGAAGTGCAGTGGTATGATCATAGCTCAAACTCATGGGCTCAAGTGATACTTCTTCCTTATCCTCCCTCACCTCAGCCTCCTGAGTAGCTGGGACTAGAGGCACCTGCTGCCATGCCCGACTAATTTTTAAAAATTTGTTTGTAAAGACATGGCTGCACTATATTGCCCAGGTTGGTCTCTTAATTCCTGGGCTCAAGTGATCCTCCTGCCTCAGCCTCCCAAAGTGCTAGAATTACAGGTGTGAGCCATCATGTCACGGCCTCTTAGATAACTTTAGCAAAAGGGATATGTTGTAGTAAATTATAAAGCTTTACTATGTATATAAAACATGTTATGAGAAGTTTTATCTATCTATCTATCTATCTATCTATCTATCTATCTATCTATCTACTTACCTACCTATCTATCTATCTATCTATCTATCTATCTATCTATCTACTTACCTACCTACCTACCTACCCACCTACCTACTATTGGCCCTCTATATTCGCAGGTTCCACATCTGTGGATTCAACCAACCTTGGAATAAAACATTCGGGGGGGGAAATATATATATATACACACACACACACACACACACACACACACACACACATCGGGGGAAATATATATATAAATATATATATATAAACAATAAAAAATGATACAAATAAAAAATACAGTCTAATAATTATTTACTACAATTTAGTTATCATTTACATTGTTTTAGTTACTATAAGTAATTTGGGGATGAGTTAAAGCATGTGGTAGGCGAGTGCACAGGTCTATATGCAAAGACTATGCCATTTTATGTAAGGGACTTGAGCATTTGAGAATTCTGGTATCCCTGTTGGGCGGGCAGGAGGACGAGTCCTGGAACCAACCCCCTGTGAAAACCAAGGGATGATTGTATATATAAAAACTGTTAGAGAAATATATTTTGTTCATGCATAGGAAAACTTAATGTAATAGTGTCAGTTCTCTGCAAAATCATCTATTGTTAACAATGCAATTTCACATAAAAATCTCAACAGGGTTCTTTGTGTAATTTAACAAGAATATTCTAAAATTATGTGTTAAGAGAGGTAGTCCACCATTGGCTGTGAGCACCCCTGCAATTCTTGTTGCATGTACAAAAGCCTTATTCATCTCCTGAAATAGTGCATTTTCTATAGCCAGTCAGATAGGCAATTAAGCAGGTCAAGGAAACCATAACATGATGACCAGGCCAACCGCTCTTCTCCTGGGAGAGGGTACTGGCTTGGTTGCTATTTGTTACAAGTTTTGTTGCTTACTCAAAAAGCACTGGGCCCTTGGCTCTGAGTTTTCCTCAGCTGAAATATAACTTACTGCCTTCACAGCATCCATTTAGGCCTGCTGCATAGTCCACAGGACTTGGGGTAGGGAAATCTGAACAACTACATCAATGCCATGTTGTTTGCTATAATAATCTGTCTTACTCTAGCTCATTAAGTTGCTAAGTCTTGTTGTCTCCCTTTTGTACCTATAAAGTAGCAGCAGGTTTACTGCTTATAAAGCCCGATGGCTAGGTTTTTTCCCTGACAATATGGAAGACCAAAACACCAGAATAGTCAAGATACTCTTGAAAAACAATAAGATTACCCTACTACAAACTGATCTATTATAAAACTACAGTAACTGAAACAATATGGTATTGTTGCAGGAGTAGACCAAGAGACCTAAACATACATGGGATTTTGACATATATATTGGGTGGGTTCCAGTCAGGAAAATGGAAACCACACTAGCTCTGATGGAGAGATTTTAGCATTAGGAGAAATGTTTAAACAGGTGTTAGAGGACTAAAATAGAAAAAAGGAAATAATCACATAAATGTAAAGACAAATTCATAATTATAGCTGGGAGATTTTATCACTTTTCTAATTGACAGAACAAGTAGGGAGGAAATGAGTACATATATAGAATACCTGAAGAGCATTATTAAAAACTTGACCTAATTGACATTTTAAAACACTTCATACAACAATGCCAGAATTCATGTTCTTCTCTGGGCACATCCAAATGGACCAAAATAAACCATACTGTGGGCCATAAAACAAATCTTAAAAAAACTATGAAGCATATTCACAGACTGAAATAGAATTAAACTAAAAATCAGTAACAGAAAGATATTTGGAAATTAAACAACTTCCCTCATAGGTCAGTAAAAAAGTCTCTTAAGAAAATGAAAAAATATTTTGAACTGAAAATCCAACACGGGAAAACAATGCTACAAATATTGATTATATAGAATATAACCAAGAAAAATTGGGGATTGGTGGAAGAAATTTTTGCTACGGTCAATCAACAAGACTAAAGTTGATCTATTAAAGCATTTCATATTCTTTATTTTATACAGATCATAAAGGTTACTGATAGATTTCTTGTGAAACCACCTTCATCTGAAGTACTAAATCCTTGTTTTACATCTTAAAAATTAAATGTAAATATATTTTAAAGTAACATATGTAACTTGATCACAATTTTCTAAAATTTTATTTGCTCTCAATCTATCCATTCTTCTATTGAGGCAGTCCATCTAAGCAATTAGAGGCTGGGCTCTGGAATCAGACTGTCTGATTTCAAATTGTGGCTCCTGTTCTATTCATACACTGTAATCAAAGGCATTTTATTTACCTTTTTAAATCTCAGCTTCCTCATCTGTATAATGGAGATGATTATAAAAAAAAAAAAGCACTAATCTCATAAGGTTATTTTGAGGATTGAATGCATTTACCTATAAAAAGTTTTCAACTCAAATATTAATAATTTCACTCAATGCTAGTGAGTTTTTCTGCACTGATGAAATCTGGATGATTTGGCTTTTTCTTTCAACTTTTCTGAATTAACTTGATTTTTTTTTCCCTAAGCACATGTCAACTGTACAACACAAAACTTAGTTTTTGAAAAAAAGGTTAGGGCTAGGAGCAGTGGCTCAGGCCTGTAATCTCGGCACAATTACAGTGAGCAGATTGCTTGAGTTCGGGAGTTACAGACCAGCCAGAGCAACATGGCAAAACCCCATCTCTACAAAAATTATAAAAAGGCTGAGTGTGGTGGCTCACGCCTATAATCCCAGCACTTTGGGAGTCCAAGGTGGGCGGATTGCCTGAGGTTAGGAGTTCCAGACCAGCCTGGCCAACATGGCGAAACCCCGTCTCTACTAAAAATACAAAAATCTGCTGGGTGTGGTGGCACACTCCTGTAATCCTAGTTACTCAGGAGGCTGAGGCAGGAGAATTGCTTGAAACCTGGAGACTGAGGTTGCAGTGAGCCGAGATCAAGCCACCGCACTCCAGCCAGGGTGACAGGACAAGACCCCATCTCAAAACAAACAACCAAACAAACAAAAAACCAAAAAATAGCAGGGTTGGCATGTGTATGTGGTCCCAGCTACTTGGGAAGCTGAGGTGGGAGGATCAACTGAGCCCAGGAAGGTAGACGCTACAGTGAGCCAAGATCTCACCACTGCACTGCATTCCAGCCTGGGCAACAAAGTAAGACTGTCTCCAAAAACAGATAAAGAAGAGAAAAAAAGGCTTAGCACAAACAAAATTACTATCCTCAAACTATAAAGAGGGGGTACCTCTTTAAAATGGGAATGATATCTATGAATGTAAATATTTTAGAGCTCTATTTACAAATATTTGCTAATGGTTGCCATGTCATCAGCCATCAGGTATAAACAAATTTATTCTATAATATTTACTGCAGGCCTATCATTTGCCTGGCATCAAGATGGTACCTTATGAGCATGGAGAAATAATCCTAATTTCATTATGTCTATTATTTTTATCAATAAGTATTTATATTTAGATCCATATTAAAAATCTCAGTATCAGTTCAGTACCTAAAATATTAATGTGGGGTCAATAAACATTTGTTAAATGAATACATACCAAAAAGAAACTTGTAATTTGCTAATTCAACACTCTCAGACTTTATAAAACATAACTACTGTGAATAACAAGAATCAACTGTACTTAATGTTTCTGAAAAGTAACTACAGTCATGCATTGCTTTACAAGGGGTTATGTTCTGAGAAATGGGTCGTTGGGTTATTTTGTCCTTATGTGAACATTAAGAGTACACTTACACAAACATACATATACATATATATATATATTCATATAGAAAACCCACGGTTCCCAGTACCATTGCTAATTATCAATCATTTCCCCTACTTGATATGCAATGCCAATATCAAGTGCCACATTATCAAGTTTCTATATATGCTCCATTACATTATTACAGGATCACCATCTTATATGCAATGCAGTCTGTCTTTGACTGAAATGTCATGATGTGGCATATGACTATATTTGAAGTTGCTGAACACAGTCAAGGTAGAAAAGCAGTATACCAAAAGAACTCTAAGCTAGACAATCAAAATAGCTAACTTTCTCAATTAAACACTACTTCAATTAACTCTATGAAGTCAAGACTTCGTGCTTCAGTTTTCTGAAGTGTGTGTTTTTTTGTTATAGTAGTAAAGTCAACAGCTGGGTTGTCTGAGGACACATGAATTCTCCCCCTCTAAAACTGTTATAACAGTACTCACTTTGAAGAGTTCCTATTCTTCTTTCTTTCTTATTATTAAAGTCTTGTTGCTGGGTTCCATGTTGCAACTTAGATAAGAAAAGATTCTTGTGAGACCTAAAATAAAACACGAAGTTTGTAATTGGTTCCAAAAAGATTAGTAAAGCAATGGAAAAAAGGTAAATGATTTGCCTTAATCTGTTCTAGGATCTTCTATTAATACTTTGGCCTACTTCCTTTGGTGCTCTCCCTGCTTAGTGCCCCATCTTAACCTGTGGCCTCTTAAGATTTCTGTTGCCTCTCTCATCTTCCTCTATCTGATCTACTCAGCAGAAATCAAGATGTTTTTTGACGTCTCAGAAGAAGCAGGCAAAAAAAAAAAGAAAAAGAAAAAAAAAAGAAAAGGCAAGACTCTTTTGGCCTTCCAATTAGATACATCAAGGAAAAAAAATCCTTAAACTACAAAGTATTAGCTTTCATTCTCTCTTAAGGCTTTTATTTCCCCAAAGACGGATTTCAAAATTGCTTTACATAATGGCAGGTATCACTTGATTATCATTACTGCTTCCAAAAAGAGTTTTGAAAGGTAAGGCTGTTTGGAAACACAGGATGTGGCATCATTTTTTTAAAAAACCCTGCCAAATTGGTATTATATTAATCCAATTTTATGAAGGAGCAAACTAAGATTCAAAAAGCAGTTCACTTAAGCTTAGGCAGCTGTATTACCTCCACCTAAAATGTAGGTTCTTTTAGCTATACTTTTATCCCTATAGATACTCTATGTGACCAGCTATCCTTTCTCTCTTCCCCTCTCTCCCTCCTTCCCAAGACTTTCTATTGTCCTTTCTGGAATGTCATTCTCAATCTCTTCAACCATCCCTTCCTGCTCTTTGCCTTGTCTAAAATCTAGCTTTCCCCTGGGGACAATGTTTCTCTCCTTGGTAGCCTTCTCAAGTAGAGATTGGCTTCATCTTCCACCCTCCATAAACTACAGGATGCCAGAGACAGCAGTTTTCATTTCCTAATGAATGCCACTTTCAAGATCCTGCTTCCATAGAAACTTCAGCCTTGAGGATTCATGCCACTGAGATATATCACCTTCGATCATTCTTCACAGCCATTCACCATCCTTCCAAGCACTTCTTCATCATTCACAGATCTTTCTCTACACCTAAGTGCTGCTATTATGAATTATTTCAGTATTCTCATGGACAATTCATATACCATCTTGGCCTCTCAATTCTTCATGTCCAATCACCTCTTCCACATGAAGTCAGCCACCTCCTCCCACGGTTCCACTTGTGATCCCAACTGCTCTATCTTATAAATCATTCATGCAGACTTTCTGCCCTCTGGACAGGTTGCATTGTCTGTCACAGTGATTCTATTAGATCGAATAAAGTTTTTCAAGTAACTTTGATAATATTGGCATTGGGGGCATTCATTAGAAATGTAATCCCCATCCCCTTCCTGCCCCAGTATTGTATCTTTGTTTCTATGACAGATAAGTGTTTACTAAACATCTGTTTTAAGCTCAAGAACTCCCTATATGTGTATTCCAATAAGGGCTTTGTAGAAACAATGTGAAACAACCCAGTCTCAGAAGCAAGTCTCTACAGTTTGGAATTGCAAGATGTCTCAGAGTCGTTGAATATCTGTTGGGCTAAGTAGGACCCTGAGATATTCTTTCAATTGTACCATTTATGTGGTAGTTATATTAGGTCTGCATGAATTGCTTCAATCAAAGATTTGAAAGACAAAGAAGAAAAATGTCAATTTACTTCACCTCAATAAGGATACTGTACCCTCTGAGGATTCAGTTACCGCAGACTGTTTGTCACTAACACTTTAAAAGAAGAAAAAACTTGTAAGAATGTAAACAAAAGAAACTTTTCATAAGGGTAGTACTTTCCACATAGTCAAGACATATTTCAATTTATAAAAAATAACTTTGGAAAGAAACCTCGGTAACATTGGGACATACACAGTCCATTACAACATGGCTAATTTTTGTCCAGACATGCTTATACTTATAAGAGGTATCAAATCAAGCTTCTCCAGACATAAGCATAATTAATGCTGTAGTCAAGCATTTATAATAACACTCTTTCAAAAACTCTTCCATGGCACTTTATTTCCATGAATTCAAGTTTTAAAAACTGCTTTATTAAGGTATAACTGATACATAAAAAGCATGGCACATGTTTAAAGTATACAATTTGATGGGCTCAATTTTAATTTATGGTTCTCCCCACCAGTCTCCAAGTGAACTTTTGGGAATTGATTAAGTTCCCATTTGCTAGGCAGTTAAAATGGTTTCCACACACACATGACTATTTACACCTCCATGCTTTCACTGGTACTATTCCTCTCTCCTAAAATGGTATTTCCTCTTCTATCCATCTGTAAAAATCTTAACCATCCTATAAAAGCCCCTGCTCAAGGTTAGTATCTCCATGAAGCTGTCCATCTCAACTATTTCAGCACTGTGTTAGATATTTTAAGTAATCTAGAGATGACTTAAAGTATATGGGAGGATGTATGTAGGTAATATGCAAATATTACACCTTTTTTTTTTTTTTTTTTTTGAGACAGGGTCTTGCAGAGGGTCAGCCAGGCTGGAGTGCAGTGGCACAAACATAGCTTACTGCAGACCTCCCAGGCTCAAGCGATCCTCTCACTTAAGCCTCTCAAGTAGTTGGCACTACAGGCATGCACCACCAAGACTGGTTAATTTTTGTAAAGACAAGGTTCTGCCATGTTGCCTAAGCTGGTCTCAAACTCTCGGGCTCAAGTGATCTTCCTGCCTCAGCCTTTCAAAATGCTGGGATTACAAGTGTGAGCCACTGTTCCTGGCTATTACACCATTTTTGTAAGACACTTGAGCATCTGTGGATTTTGGTATTCACGGAGGGTGGATGTCCTAGGACGAATCCCCTTCAAACACCAACGAACAACTGTATAAGCTTTATCAGAGCAAAATATTTATTTCATCTAGTCTTCATAACATGGGGGTTTCAATTTTTCTAGGATTTGTCTGACCTCACAATCACACTTCTGATTCTATACTTGCTTTACTTGAACCCTTATTGGTAACTGTCCTGACACTGGTGATTTAATGCTTTATTTGCCCTGGTTCTGCTTCCAGGATGGTTTTGGTATTTGCTCAATTCTTGATCTTTACGCTGTTTCTAGTTTTAGTTTTGTTCCCTGTAACTAGTGTACAGCAAGTTCTAATGTATGCCTGGTAATGAATTAGGCAACAAGGATACCAAGCTAATTAAGATGCTTCAAGGCTAAGTAAGAACTTTCAAATAATTCTCAAACTAGTGAAAGAATCAGGTAAACAGATAAGTTACTAACGAAGATAAGTCCTTTTATAGAGATGTATGCTATGAAAAAACAGAAGTAACAACTCTGATTACAGAGCTGGGAAAGACTTCATCCAGGTGATCTCTGAGATAGATTGAATAGCAAGTAAGAGCTTGCCTTGGAGAAAATAAAATGATAGGAATTCAAATAGAAGGAACAAAGCAAGGGCAGAGGTGTGAAAACTTCTAACATTTTAAGATCAGGGAGAAGTTCTGTAATGCTAGAAAGTACGATGTACGTGGACAGGGAGGGGTTCATGCTTAGGGATAAGACTGTATATTAAAAAAAATAGAATGGGTCTATGTAAGGCTTTATAAGCCATGGCAATAAATTCTGACTTATCTAGTAGGAAATAGGAGCCAAAAAGTTTTTAAGCTGGGAGTGATCTAAAGAGATTTATTTTTTTGGAAGCTAACTCTGGAAGTTATGTCAAGGATGGATTTGAATGGTACAAAGCTATAGAGATAAAAATAGATTGGAGAAGCATTTCTGAGGTGGGGTTCTTAATACTTGGAGAGACAGCTGGATGTGTGAGGTTAAAGAAGAGAGGCAGGGTGTAGAGAGGCAAATGAGAACATGAAGAGTTCTGTTTGTACACATGGATTGCACTGTGTTTGTGTCTAGGAGAGCATCTGAAATAAGTGGGTAGTACTATATAAGGAGAGTCCATAGGAAGTGTGCTTGTCATTATCTGTAAGAACCATGGTATTAGCAGTATAATTATGAGCAGGATGGCTTGCCCACAAGAATGTATTGGGTATTAGTATCATTAAACTTTGATTTTTGAAACAAAATGAAGTAATTGGGCCAATAAATATGGAATCTCTACTTCTTAAACTGGGTTTTAGAAAAAAGCACATCAATGTGAAATAAGACTTTAGTACAGCCTTTGGAGAGATGAAAGGAACAGGTCATGCTCTGACAGGCAGGAACAATAGGAGGGACCACTATAAGATGACAGAGCCTCAGTCCTAAGATGTGACAAGTCCAGTGTAGATCCAACTTGAACCCCAATCTCCACCTCTAAATAAGTAGTTAAGATGGGGTCCCTGCAACACTTAGGTCTTGGTCCCAAGAAGAAAGTAATATTACATCCATTTCCAAATATACCCATCCAGAGACCACAGAAATTTGATTATCTGGCCTTGGTTTAAGGTAGAAGAACAGAGAAAACAGACCATGGGTTCAATAGGAAAGAAGATCTTTATAATATCAGAGTTATAGCTTCCTCAATAGGGGAAGATACTTAAGCTTCTAAAACAAAAGACAAAATCACCCCTGAAAATCCCTAAAGAAAAAATAATTTTGGAGACTTAACATATCTCTCAATATACAGGACTGACACAGCTTGTCTTCCTCCAGTATTAAAGCAAATCACTATTTCTTCAGTCAAGCACCAGATGAAGTAGTGAGCTTACCCTTAGAGAAGATATACGAATAATATCTTAATATACTAGACTCTTAGTACAGTGAAACATGAATCACATAATGAGAACATGTAGAATCTAAAAACAACTAAGGGGCACAGAAGTCCAACCTCACCTTTGTTCCTAAGCATACCCTCAGTAAGAATGGTAAACTATCCACATTATTTAAACTGTAATATTTTCTTATTCTCTACTTTTGCTTGGCATATGTAGTTTGCACAGGTCATGAAATAACTCTACAGTACTCCAAATACCTAAATGTTAATCATCAGCAAGATAACATGCTACTCAATAATTATTTTTAACAAAAAGACTCGCATCAATTTTACATAAAGACAGAACATTCATAAAACAAAGAATACACAAATTGATTAAATTACAAACCTTTTTCTTGTATCCAAATTAGCTTCAGTTTCCATTTCAACATCATTACCATTAGGTTTATCTTGAGAAGTTATTGTTCTTGTTCTTTTACTTTCTACTACTTTTGCTGCTGCCTTAAAAAATGGTGTGTGTGGAGGTAGGAGGATAGGAAGAAATGCATTAAGCCATTTTAAACAAATAGCATTAAATTAAGCCTTGTAATTCTTTGATAGTCATAGCCAATATATCTGTTCACAGGCCAATAAAGGGCACTGTGTTGTTATTTTCACCAATAATTATGACACTGCCAGCAGCTACATTAGCTATCTGCTTGGTTTATCCGCATTACGAAGGTGGTCTTTCCTTGTAAATATATTTGATAGACAAAATGCTCTCTAGGCAATTTTTAAGAGAAAAGGCTGCATGAAAAAAACATAAATTCTATATATTTTGAAATAAAAATTATCTCAATCAAGATGCTCCACTATAACACTGTCAACTTAAAACTTCTGAGGTCAAGACAGAGAATAAAATGTTACTAGAAAAATTTTATTGTTGTTTGTTTTGAGACAGGGTCTCACTCTGTCACCCAGGCTGGAGTGCAGTGGCACAATCACAGCTCACTGCAGCCTCAACCTCCTGGGCTCAGGTGATCTCCCACCTCAGCCTCCCAGGTAGCTGGGACTACAGGCGTGCGCCACTATGCCTGGCTAAATTTTTTATTTTTTTTGTAGAGACGGGGTTTTGCCATGTTGCCCAGGCTGGTTTCAAACTCCTGGGCTCAAGCGATCTACCCATTTCAGCCTCCCAAAGTGCTGGGACTACAGGCATGAGCCACTGCGCCTGACCAGAAATGTCTTTAACGACAGGGTCTCGTTTTGTCACCCTGGCTGGAGTGCGGTGGCTCAATCTCAGGTCACTACAGACTCAACCCCCCCAAAGTAGCTGGGACTACAGGTGTATGCCACCATGCCCAGCTATTATTATTATTATTTTTTTTTGAGACAGACTCTTGCTCTGTCGCCCAGGCTGGAGTGCAGAGGCACCATCTTGGCTCACTGCAAGCTCTGCCTCCCAGGTTCAGGCCATTCTCCTGCCTCAGCCTCCGGAGTAGCTGGGACTACAGGCGCCCGCCACTACGCCCGGCTAATTTTTTTTGTATTTTTTTAGTAGAGAGGGGGTTTCACCGTGTTAGCCAGGATGGTCTCGATCACCTGACCACATGATTCACCCGCCTCAGCCTCTCAAAGTGCTGGGATTACAGGCACAAGCCACCGTGCCGGCCCAGCCAATTTTTTTGTAGACAAGGGGTTTCACCATGTCACCCAGGCTAGTCTCGAACCCCTGAAACTTGGCCTCCCAAAGTGCTAGGATTATAGGCATGAGCCACTGCACCTGGCCTAGAAAAATTTTAAAAGGCCCTTCTTTAATGCAATTCTACTTTTCCCCAAAAATGTGTTTAAAAACGTCTTTAAAATTTACTTAAATTACAATGAATATTTGCTTTTGCCTATTTCTTATTTTTAATTCATTCTAAGTTTTCCCTTCAACTTTTTCTTTTGAAAATTTTCCTAATTTTGAAAAGTTACAAAAGTACTACAAAGATCACTCATAAATCTTTTAATGAGGTCCACAAAATGTAACATTTTACCACACCTTTCTACAAAACCACAACAAAAAATTCCCATTAGTTTTAAAGGATTTCTATTTCAAGTATTCTCCTTTATTATAACATTTCCTTTAAGTCTATTATTAGAGTCACTCTTGAATAATATGTATACCTTCATTAGAAAGGTTGACGATTTTTCACTTAGCACATAATTCACATAACTCTTAATTTTCTCCATCATGTGGTTGTAGCTGAAGTGTTGAAAAAAGGAATGAAATGTATCTTTCTGAGAGATTATCATAAGCAATTTGCTTTTGAAAGGCTAAAGAAAAGAGAAGAAATGAATTAACATAAATCACACAAAGTTACAGATACAAGGATTTTTGTCATATATTATTTAATTGGAAAGAAATCACTTTATAAACTCAGAGACACAGATACTTTTAAAATTAAGTTTTAAATGACATGCCAATGTACTTTTTTCTTACTTCTTCTGGTCTCTCCTCATTTAAAAAAATATTTTATATTTTAGACAGATGCAAAAAGATATGTATTATAAACCAGAGTACCCACTACCCAGTTTAAGAAATAAAACATAATCGATATGGTTAAAATCCCTGTTTACTACCATAATCTGATTGTATCCCCTTTTCTCTCCTCACTGTAACCATTACCCTGAATTTAGAATTCACCATTCCCATGAATTCCTTTACTTGTACTACGTATGTATCCACAAATAACACGTAGCATTGCTTAGCATGGTTTTAACTCTACAAATGGTGTTGTACGATCTGTATTCTTTTGAAACTTGCTACATTTTAGTCAACTCTATGTTTACAACATTTATCCATGCTGATTTGATATTCCTAGAAGTAGTTATTTTTGCCATTATAAAGTACTACACTGATCAAAAACATCACTTATTCATCCACTCTTCAAACCTACTGAGGGATTTAGGCTACTTGCAATTACTGTATTGCTCTTCAACATGTTCCTACATTATCTTCTGTGCACTGTATGTGTTTTCCTTGGACAGTAGCTCTTTCAATGCTGGCTGTACAATAAAAGCTGGAGAACTTTAAAAAAATTCTTAGGCTCGGCCGGGCGCGGTGGCTCAAGCCTGTAATCCCAGCACTTTGGGAGGCCGAGACGGGCGGATCACGAGGTCAGGAGATCGAGACCATCCTGGCTAACATAGTGAAACCCCGTCTCTATTAAGAAATACAAAAAACTAGCCGGGCGAGGTGGCGGGCGCCTGTAGTCCCAGCTACTAGGGAGGCTGAGGCCGGAGAGGCGGAGCTTGCAGTGAGCTGAGATCCGGCCACTGCACTCCAGCCTGGGTGACAGAGTGAGACTCCGTCTCAAAAAAAAAAAAAAAAAAAAAAAAAAAAATTCTTAGGCTCAATCTCAGAGCAATTATCTCAGGAAGGCCTTGGTTTTTTGTTGTCTTTAAAGCTTTATGGCTTTTAAAATATGCAGTTAAAAGTGAAACCAGCTATTCTAGGATATTGTCTAGAAGTGGAATTGCTGGAATGCATGCTTAAAAGATTTTGCTAAAATGATCTCCCAAAGAAGTACCAATATACAGTCTTGAAAGGAAGTTATGGCAGGTAGTACAATCATTTCTCAATTTGTTGAGACAACTATTGGTATTCTAAGACATTTTAATTGATGCCAGTCTAAGGGATGGGAAGTAGTGTTTCAATATAGTACTTAATATTGCTCTAATGAGGCAACATTAATACTAGTGAGGTTAAGTACTTATCTTAACCTCTTAATATTTCCTGGCCGTCAGTTTTCCTCTTCTGGGAGGTATGAGGAGAGTAGAATTTTCAGTAGTCTCATAGTGCTATGGAGAAAATATAAGGGTAGGAAACCCAAAAGACAAATTTCTGGAGGGCTATACCCCAGGGACAGGGTTATATTAGAGATAGACAAAGCCTTGCCAAAACTGCCCAACCTACCCTCAACTAGGCCCAGGTTCCTTATTGGATTAAGGTAGTCACTCTCCAACTCTTTCTACTAACGTTATCAAAAGGTGCTCAATCTGATTATTCATCAGGGAAACAAATTAAAATCCAATGGGACAGCACTACATATTTGCCTGAATGGCTAAAATGAAAACCCAGATGTAAGATCTGTGGAGCCACTAGAATTCTTTTACACTACTGGAGGAATTGACATAACTACTTTGGAAAACAGCTTGGCAATATCTACTAAAACTGAGTATGTACACACCTTATGACTCATCAGTTCTACTCTTCATATAAACCCAAAAGAAATGCAGGTATTTCTTCCACAAAATGTATGGGGGAAAAGAATTGCACCTGTACTGAACACATACAGACTTTTTTGTATCTTTTTGTTCCTAAACAGTACAACTATTTACATTGTATTAGTTATTATAATCTAGAGATGATTTAAAGTATACAGGAGGATGTACATATGTTATATGCAAATACTATACTATTTTATTATTTATTTACTTTTAGAGACAGGGTCTCTATCTGTTGCTTAGGCTGGAGCACAGCGGCAGCATTATAGCTCACTGCAGCCTTGACTTCCTGGGCTGAAGCAATCTTCCCACCTCAGGACTATAGTATCGCTCCACCACACCTCGCTGATTTTTAATTTTTTCGTAGAGAACAGGGTCTCGCTGTTTTACCCAGGCTGATCTTGAACTACTGACCTCAAATGGTCCTACTGCCTCAGCCTCCTAAAGTACTGGTATTATAGGCATGAGCTATTGCACTCAGCCTCTTTTTACTTTTTTAATATGACTACTGGAAAATTTTATTTATTTTTCATTATTTATTATTTCTTTTTTTTTGGAGAGATGAGGATCTCCCCATGTTGCCCAGGCTGTCTCAAATATCTGAGCTCAAGGGATCATCCCACCTCAGTCTCCCAAAGTGCTGGAATTATAGGTGTAAGCCACTGCATCCAGCTTATTAGAAAATTTTAAATCACATATGTGACTTGCATAGTTTTTCTATTGCACAGTATTATTCTATACTGTTTAAAAGATAAAGCATTTATTTTCTCCTCCAATTTTCTTTCAGTTTTCCTCATTCTACATAAACAGTTCTAAAATTCTGTGGTTTTAATTTAAATAATTACCATATAAGAATTTGGATCACCAAATATTCTTTCAAAGACTTCTTCTGCTTCTTTAAAGTTGCCATTTTCCATACAAACAGCTATAGCCTAAAAGATGAAAAATACCAACCTTAGACTGCGTTTAAAAATATCTAATAGTTATTTAATTATTAAGATAACTGAAGTAAGTCTGAAATCCTCTGTTGAAAACATTTTTATGTAGTTTAATAATTTTAGTTTGATAAAAAATATAAAGTACTTTTTCAAAGACAAAATAAGTGTCGCTTGAAATGACATGAAAAATTTGCACTGGTCCCATGCACATTTACTCATAAATGCCCAGCATTCTATCTCTAATTTAGACCAAATCAAAAGCATGTATTAGTAAATAAATTAGAAGCCATACCATGGACATTTAGGACCCACCTAAATATTAATTTTGAGTAAAAGGGAAATAAGAGGAGGTAGATGATGTTTGTGATGATTAGGATATATAAAATTTGCTAGTCAGAATCCCTGGAAAATATCTAATACAAACCTAAGAAGCTAGATGTTTTTGAATGATCATTTTTTTTCACACATTGGCATTTTTGGTAACAGGGTAAGACAGGACCACTATTACCATCTAGGTAGCTATGTAAACTTGGTAAGCTACTTAGCCTCTTGGTGCCCCAGTTACCTTATATGTAAAATGGTGGAAACAATAGTACCTATTTCATCAGATTGTTATGAGGACGTAAGAGTTTTATGTGAAAGAGTTTAGAACAGTGCCTGGCAAATAGTAAGGAATATATTAAATGTCTGCTATAAACTTTGTCACCCATTTGACTTTACAGTAGTGTATTAAGAAAGACTTGCTTTCTCTAGCGGTCTAAAAGATTGCAATAACATGACAAATCTCTTTGCTCTGGGTTGAATTCATAAAGGAAACAGTCGTTTTTCTGCCCATTTTCTTTTCTTCAGGTCCTAATTCTACTTGACTATCACCACACTAATTCTTGGGAAGGTGGGGAATGACCTAGCTTTTCTTTTCTATTCAACCTGAAAATAAATTTTTAAAATTCTCAAAAGAGAAAAAGTTTATTTAACTAAGAAAGTACCTAGTATTTGCTCTGACTGCTAGCTACTGTATCTTTGAATGACTTTTTAAAACTACTCACTGTCTACTAAAATTCTCCCTACATGGTTAAAATTTTACATACTCTTGATTAGAAAAATCTAAAATTTACCATTAATTAAAAATATTATCTACTTTTTCCATAATCTTTAAATATCAATTGGAAGAGCACAAATCCCTGGTTTTAAAATTTTCCACAACATGGGGGCAACATATACTGAAGTATGGAACATTAAGTTCCAGCCCCCAGTGATCATGTTAAGGCTATAAACCAAAGGTCAAATTTCTGAAGAGAAACAATACATTAAATTTTACTATTGCTTAACCTCTACTAGGTTTCTCTTAATTTCTTTTAAGTGTTAAATGTTCTTATTTTCTAGAAATATAATAATTATAAGCATAAGTTATTTATTCATACCTGAATTTTAATTAAATTCTGTATTTCTTCGTGAAGTTTGTCATGTTCCTTTTCAATTGAACCCCAAATCATCAGGGCTGATTCCAAGGGTGTAATTCGTTCATCATTTTCAAACTGTGCATCTTTTAAAAACAGAACAAAAATAAGTAACTCAGAAAGCTAAGTAGAACTTTGTCAGTTTTTAATAACGCTTTCCTTTAAATATTTATTGAGTATATACTATGTGCTAGGTGCTCCTCGTTTATACCAGTTTAGAGAAGTGATTTTATTTTCTAAGTTAATTTTCTCATTAAGATCAATTTCAAATGGAAAAAGGTTGATGAGATAACAAACATTTGAAGATTTCTTTACAAAAATATGAATTTTAAAAACTAAACTATTTTACATAACATGTCATAGCAACAGAATTCTTAAGTGGTTCCTAAGTCTAATGCACTACAACAAACCTCAAGACAGGCCAGTTTTCTCATCTATAAAATGGTGACAATAAATACTATCTCACAGAATTTATGTGACTATATAATGAGATAATAGTTGTACTATTATTAAGCTTTCCTAAAAGAATTATGATCAAGTTATTCAGAACAAAGACTCACAACAACTGATAACTAATTAGCAAATTACACAGCAACAATTCATTCGGACATTCAAGAGCCTTCACTATAACGTCTTATATGTCTAGCATCTACAGTCTACAATTCATTTAATAAATATTTATTGATCACTCACTATATATAGGCACTTGCCTAAAAACTTGGAATGTCTCAGTGAATAAGACAAAATCCCCACTTTTATGATGTTCACATGCTAATGAGAAATAAATACAGTTTCAGAGTAGTAAAGGCTAGAAAAAATAAAAAAGGTACTGGAAATGAATGGTAGGGGAGGGGGAAGCTCTTTCAGACAGGTTAAAGACCTCTCTGAAGAAGTGACAGTGGAGCTGAGAACAGCATAACGTGAAGCAGAAGGCACAGTCACCCAAAGATCTGGAAGAAAAACATTCCAGAGGGAATGGCAAGTGCAAAGATCCTGAGGAGGAGTTTGATGTTCAAAGGGCAGGAAGAGCCAGGTGGGGGCGTGTGCCTGTAGTCTCAATTACTCGGGAGGCTGAGGTGGGAGGACTGCTTGAGCCAGGGAGTCTGATTCAGGGAGTCTGATTCAGTGAGTGATGATGACACCACAGCACTCCAGTATAAGTGACAGAGTGAGACCCTCCCTGTCTTGAAAAAACAAATACAAAGGGCAGGAGGAAGGTCAGTGGGCAAGTTGGATGCACGCTCTTAGAAAGATGATGGAAGAGGCAAGTAGTTAATCAGTTTTGGAACTTATTTTGAATGTAGAATAGAACCTGTTAATGGATTGCATGTAGAGTATGAGAAAAAAATGGAGGACTCTTGGGTTTTAATAATTGGATAAATGGTGCTAACATTTACTATCATAGGAAGCCTGGATGAGGACCAAGTTTATGAAGTTGTATATAGAAATCAAGAGTTCTACTATCCAGGTAAACTACAATTTATTTTCAAAATAATGCTAATGTTTTCATTTTGTCTAGACTACCATCCCCCCACCCCCACACCACATCTGAGGATGTGGATAGACTACCATTTTTATACTTTCTTTCTGACAAACTCTAGCAATTCTTACAGGCTTAGCGCAAACTCCACCTCTTTATTGAACGCTGTCCTTACCCCAGCAGCTAAGAGACTAGGAAATATCCTTTCTCTAAATCTCCTGTATGTGCTTGCTTTGGCAGCACATATATAAAAATTGGAAGAATGCAGAGATTAGCATGGCCCCTCAACAAGGATGACACAAAAATCCATGAAGCGTTCCATTAATTAAAAAGAAACTCTTGTATCATTATTCCTTTTTTAATGCCTTGCAGTACTTTATACTTACCTCCACAACCCTATTAGATTTTAAAGTGTCTTGAAGACAAAAAACTTCATAGTCTACCATGCATAATATTTCAAATTTTGGGGGGCAGGAGCCACTTAGTGTATTTTTCTAAACCCCTGTAATCCTAGCACAGTTGTAGTCCCATAGCAAGTATGCAACAAATAAGCATAATAAAGAGAATTTTTTATTTTTATTTATTTTTTGAGATGGTGTTTCGCTCTTTTGACCAGGCTAGAGTGAAGTGACGCGATCTCGGCTTACTGCAACCTCCGCCCCCTGGGTTCAAGCAATTCTCCTGTCTCAGCCTCCCAAGTAGCTGGTGCCCGCCCCACGCTTGGATAACTTTTGTACTTTTAGTACAGATGGGGTTTCGCCATGTTGGCCAGGTTGGTCTCAAACTCCTGACCTCAGGTGATCCACCCGCCTCGGCCTCCAAAAGTGCTGGGATTACAGGCGTGAGCTACCGAGTCCAACCGAATAAAGAGCATTTTAAATAGCATATCTTTTTTTCCTTTAAAAACCAGAGTGAGCAGGCAGTTTAAATATTTGTAGTTTCAAATATTTTTACTTTATTTCCTGTTGTCCTCTCCAAATTGTTGTTCCAACATTTTAAATATAAAAATATATTCATTCACATACTAAGTCTCTTTATATTCCAGGTTGTGTCAGGTACTTAGGATACAAACATGAAGAAGAAAGTTCCTGACCTTGTGGAATTCACATCCTAGCTATGGAGGAAGACATGCAAACAAACCAATGTAACTGGTACTTTAATGGAATTGTGCATTATGCCAATGGTTCTCCATGTTTGCTATACCTCAGAAACAGCTGAAGAGCTTTTGAAAAATACTGATGCATGGCCAGACACGGTGGCTCTTTGGGAGGCGGATCTCATGATCCACCGATCAAGAAATCGAGACCATCCTGGCAACATGGTGAAACTCTCTCTCTACTAATAATAGAAAAATTAGCCAGGCATGGTGGTGCACGCCTGTAGTCCCAGCTACTCAGGAGGCTGAGGCAGGAGAATCGCTTGAACCCAGGAGGTGGAGGTTGCAGTGAGCCAAGATGGTGCCACTGTACTCCAGCCTGGCGACGGAGCAAGACTCCGTCTCAAAAAAAAAAAAAAGAAAAAAGAAAAAATATATTGATGCCTACACCCATCTCCCAGAGATTAAATTCTCAAGCAGAATCTGGTGTATTTGAGGAACAGGGTATTCACTCTAAGTAGGAATACTAGAAGTGAATCCTTCATGAAACAGAAGTCATCCAAATTGGGGCATTAAGGATAAACAGATAAACTAAGTGTAGAGTACCAAGGATGGGAAGGAGAACACTTCAGAAAAATGGAGCAGCATAAGGTAAGAAAGGTGTACAAAAGATATTCATGCTAGTAACTAACACTGAGTGTCAGGCACTGTGGCACTCGTTTTATACAGTAAGATCTGAAAGCCAGAGAGCTCACACACCTAGCAAGTAGAAGCAGACACCAAGATACTTAAAAATCACTTACTGTGTCTCAAAAGTAGTAAAATGAAGATGCAAAGGTAGACTGCCTACTTTTTCTTCCTCATTTTTCATCTGCTTGCTTTCTTTCAGAAACTAATTTCAACACACATTTTCAAATAAGTATTTCTTGACTGACGTTACTTAACCCTTCTCACTTATCTGCCTTCCTTCTTATAAATGTGACATATAGAAAAATGTATGTTAGCTCTTAGCTTCAAAAAATTTACAGTATAGACATTTACTTCCAGGTGGGATGTAGTACACTGCAGCAAACAAAACACTCACACTACAACTAGAAAACAGTTAAACTCCAAAATCATGTTGCTAAAGACATGGGATAGCCATGGAAAGCAATGAAAATGAGATGAACTAAAATTCCAGAGAGAATCCCTTTTGAGGTGAGATGCTGATTAGCTGATTTTGGATAAGGTTGAGGATCCAGTGTACTCCAGCCAGAGCGACTTTACTGGGGAAAGACAAATAACAGCTTTTGGTGGTTTCCTTGGGACTGGCACAGTCCACTAGAAACTAGAGGAACTGCAAACATGATTGGTTTTTCTCCACAGGACATGTGCTGAGTTCCAGGGCAATGCAATAGGCTGTGGTGGAAAGGTACATTAAGTCTCCCAGAGTTTTGGGAGGCCTAGGCGGGAGGGTCACTTGAGGCCAGGAGTTCAAGACCAGCCTGGACAACACGAGACCTCGTGTCTACAAAATATTTAAAAACTAGCTGGGCCTGATGGTGCACCTGTAGTCCTAGCTACTCAGGAGACTGAGGTGGGAGGATCACTCAAGCTCAAGAGTTTGAGTCTGCAGTGAGCTATGACAGCACCACTGCATTCCAGCCTGGGCCAGAGAGACACCCTGTCTAAAAAAAAAAAGCTTAAAGTTCCATGAGAGGAGGATGATAAGCATTTCCCCTTTAAGATATCTGCTGTATATTGCAGCTACGTGGGGGTCTAAGGCCACACCACCCCAAACATGTCCAATCTTGTCAAAGTTATGTGGGGTAGGAGACTAAACCCAATATGGTAGCTACTAGCCATACATAATTACTGAACAGCTAAAATATGACTAGTTTGAATTGAGATGTACCTTAAGTATAAAATACACATGAGATTTCAAAGACTTACTCCAAAAAAGGTAAAATATTTCTTTTTTTTTTTAAGAGATGGGGGTCTTGATGTGCTGCCCAGGTTGGGGTACAGTGGTGTGATCATAGCTCACTGCAGCCTCAAACTCCTAGGCTCAAGTGATCCGCCCACCTCAGCCTTCCAGAGCTGGGATTACAGGTGTGAGCCACGTGCCTGGCCTTACTAACATTTTTTACACTGATAACTTATTGACATAATGTTTGAGAAATATTGAGTTAAATAAGATTATCAAAATTAATTCCATCTTTTTTTTTTTTTTTTTAGCTACACCTGCTGGAATGGGAATTTCTAAATTTCATGACAGAGTTTCATTCTGTCACTCAGGCTGAAGCGAAGTGGCACAATCACAGCTCACCACAGCCTCAACCTCCTGGGCTCAAACAATCCTCCCACCTCGGTCTCCTGAGCACCACACATGGTTAATTTTTTAAATTTTTTGTAGAGACAGGGTCTCGCTATGTTGCCTAGGCTGGTGTCAAATTCTTGGGCTCAAGCGATCCGCCTGCCTAGGTCTCCCAAAGCACTGGGATTACAGGTATGAGTCACTATGCCTGGCCTACTTTTCTTAACATAACTATTAGAAAATTTTAAATTAGACATGTGGCTCACATATCTCTATTACGCAGTGCCACTATAGAGCAAAACAAAACAAAACAAAACAAAACCAAAAAAAAGGGGTTATGTATAGCTGAAAATTCAACACATAAAATTTTAAATGCTGCCTCAGTTGAGTGTATTATGGTGAAATACATTGATTCTTGATAGCTGACCCTTGCCCATTATATCTAGGATATATCCAAAAGAGTATCCTGGTAAATTCCAAGATTAAACCATGAGATCACACATAAAATCTGGATTCCCCCCGCCTTTTTTGGAGAAAAGGTTATCCAGGAAGCAACTAAGACGTGCTGAACAACTGCTATGTGTAAAACACTGCCAGGCACTTTAGAATACTTTTCCACCTTAATTTGGAAAACAACCCTGTTAACAACAGTGTCAACTTATAGTATGCACGGTCTAGAATTTTGCTCCAACCTGCTACTTCTCCAGCAACTGGCCCAGGCCTACCTATAGCTCTGTTTCTTTCACAACGATTCTGCCTCTATCTAGTTCTGTCCATTTATGGTACTGGCACCAACTCCAGACCTACCCTCACGCCCCAAACAAAGCTGACTACATCAGCCAGAGCTACTTTAGTGGGGGCTTTGACAGTGGTGCTAATATACTGGGATTTTATGTAAGACAACATTTCAGTAAGTAAGCAGTTTTATGTAAGTACTGCCCACTACTCAGGATTGTTGGAAAAGTATTTTGTAAATTATAAAAACCAATCTAGGCCGGGCGCGGTGGCTCAAGCCTGTAATCCCAGCACTTTGGGAGGCCGAGATGGGCGGATCACGAGGTCAGGAGATCGAGACCATCCTGGCTAACACGGTGAAACCCCGTCTCTGCTAAAAAATACAAAAAACTAGCCGGGCGCGGTGGCGGGTGCCTGTAGTCCCAACTACTCGGGAGGCTGAGGCAGGAGAATGGTGTGAACCCGGGAGGCGGAGCTTGCAGTGAGCTGAGATCCGGCCACTGCACTCCAGCCTGGGCGGCAGAGCCAGACTCTGTCTCAAAAAAAAAAAAAACCAATCTAAATATAAAATTATTTGCATCAAATAGCCTTTTAAAATGACCATGTTGTAAATACCAGCCATTGCTGATAAACTGAATCAGGCTTGCCCATTACAATCTAAAATGAACTACAGAGACAAGGGAGGGAGATTACAGCTATAAACTGTACTTCTTACATAAATAAGTGCTGGCATCAAGTTCAAATAAAAGGTTTCAAATATAATAGTTGCCAGTAAAAAACAGAGTGTGTATGATTGGAGTCACCACAAAGTTACCAAACAGAGTCAATGAAACACACTTCCCCAACAGTAGCATCAGAATCACCTGGGAATTTATTAGAAATGTACATTTCAGAGCCCCATACCCATCCTACTGAATCTGAAACTCATGGGAGGTAGGGAGACTCAGCACCATGTTTTTTTTTTAATAAGTCCTTTAAGTAATTCTGGAGCAGGCTGAAGTTTGAGAACCAATGTTCTAAGGTGACAGGGACTACATTTCTTTTACTTGCTTTAGATATGACTGTATGTGTGTACACACACACACACACACGCACACACACACACCTCACACCCCATGCACCAGACACTTGCAGGCAAACTCCCCCCCCAAAAAAATCTGTTTCTTCTCATTGTCTTACATTTAGACACAGATTGAAATATTTCCAATATAAAATAAAAACACATATTTACCAAGGGTTTTTCCTGCTGCAATTCTTGTCAAAAACTGACATATGTATATCGTTCTCAACTGGTAAGCTGTTAGACTGGATAGTCCATGAATAATAGCTAAAAAAGAAAAAAGTAAATTTTATTAAAATCAAACTTGATGCAGTAGTGCCACTGTGTGGTTTGTTCAGTAATAGGCTACAAACATGTTGTAAAAATTATCATAGAGTTGTACATTTAAGATCTGATTAAAAATCAGAACAAAAAAAAGAATAGCAATGAAGACATTTCTTACAAAATAAAACTTTCACGTGCAGAATAAAAATTGTTGAAAATTCTTTCACAAGTAGCAGTCTACATTAACAAAAAAGATTTAGATACAAATTGTAAAATGTGTAAAATCACTGGTTGGAAACTTATACCTAGAAACATGTCATATAACAGAAAATATTTTATATTATTTTTATCAATGTTTCAATTAAGTGAGTCTGCTTAGCTTACAAAGCTGTATTTTAAAACATATTAATATTAACCTTACCAAAACTTGAATGCCCACCCAGATGTTGAGTCAGGCAGTGACTACATACAATACCAAGTAAGCCATACTCATGGACCACAGTGAGCTTTTTACCATGTAGCAATGAGAGACAAGCAATTGAACTACTGAAGTAAAAATGTGGCGAAAACTTTAAAAAGACAAGTACAGAATGCTTTGGAAGCATATAACAAGAAATCTGTGTGTTTAACTATCTTCTGCACAGAGGAGGTATCAGGGAAGGCTTCTCCGAGGAAATAATATCTAACCTAAGACCTGAAGGTGCCACCACTACCATTACACTTAATCCAGGGCTTGGCTGGTGTATATAAAAAGCTTAAAAAACTAGCAAACTGAAAAGCAGTTCTTTAGCAATTAGGCATATAAGACAAATATATTGGCCCGGCGCGGTGGCTCAAGCCTGTAATCCCAGCACTTTGGGAGGCCGAGGCGGGTGTATCACGAGGTCAGGAGATCGAGATCATCCTGGCTAACATGGTGAAACCCCGTCTCTACTAAAAATACAAAAAACTAGCCGGGCGAGGTGGCGGGCGCCTGTAGTCCCAGCTACTCGGAGGCTGAGGCGGGAGAATGGCGTGAACCCGGGAGGTGGAGCTTGCAGTGAGCCGAGATCGCGCCACTGCACTCCAGCCTGGGCGACAGAGCGAGACTCCGTTTCAAAAAAAAAAAAAAAAAAAGACAAATATATTTTTACCCAATTTCCTCCCTCAATTCTAACATAATCTTATGCTATACCAGAGATTATCTGGACCATACACAGTCATAATAGAATTTAACAGGATTTTAAGAGAGCACAAAATTTATATAGAATTTAAACACAAGCCATTCAATATTTACTGAACATCTACTGCCAGCCTGTGTTAGGAGGTGATGACTTAAGATAGCCAGTCTCCGCCCCCATGAAGGTTTTAATCTGAGACGACACAAATTAAACAAAAAGTTATGTAAGCAACTAATTAAAATTTTAATGAGTACCACCAAGGATAGGTGCAGGCATACCTCATTTTATTGTGCTTTGCAGATAGCATGTTTTTTATAAATTGAAAGTTTACGGCAGCCCAGCTTGAGCCAAGTCTAATGGCACCATGTTTTTTTTTTTTTGAGACGGAGTCTTGCTGTTGCCCAGGCTGGAGTGCAGGGGCTCATCTCCGCTCACTGCAAGCTCCGCCTCCCACGTTCACCCCATTCTCCTGCCTCAGCCTCCCGAGTAGCTGGGATTACAGGTGTGAGCCAATGTGCCCGCCTCATTTTTCTAACAGTACCTGTACCTGTCACATTTTGATAATTCTTGCAATATTTCAAACTTTTTCACTATTATTGTATCTGTATGGTGGTCTGTGATCAATAGCCTCTGATGTTACTATTGTAAAGGTTCTGGAGTACCACAGATCATGGCCATATAAGACACAAACTTATTCCATAAATATTGTGTGTGTTCTAACTGTTCCACTGACCAGCTCCTCCCCTTTCTCCCTCTCTTCAGGCCTCCTTATTTCCTGAAACACAACAATATTGAAATTAGACCAATGAGTAACTCTACATGCCCTCCAAGTGTTTCAGTGAAAGAAGTGCATGTCTCTCACTTTAAATCAAAAGCTAGAAATGATTAAGCTTAGTGAGGAAAGGATGTCAAATGCCACAATAGGCTGAAACATAGGCCTCTTGTGCCTAACAGCCAAGCTGTTAATACAAAGGAAAAGTTCTCAAAGGAAATTAAAAGTTCTAATCCACTGAACACATAAATGATAAGAAAGTAAAAGAGCCTTATTGCTCATATGGAGAAAGTTTGACTTGGATAAAAAAAAAAGTCAAACTAGCCACAATGTTCCTTTAAGCCACAGCCTAATACACAGCAAGTCTAAGGAGCCTGAAAGAGGTGGGAAAACTGCAAAAGAAAAGTTGGAAGCTAGCAGAGGTTGCTGGTTCATGAAGTTTAAGAAGCCATCTCTATGACATAGAAGTTCAAGGTGAAGCAGCAAGTGCTGAAGTAAAAGCTACAAGTTATTGAGAAGATCTAGCAACAATCACAAATGAAGGTGGTTACACTAAACTGATTTTTCTTTTTTTTTTTTTTTTTGAGACAGAATCTCGCTGCGTCACCCAGGTTGGAGTGCAGTGGCGTGACCTTAGCTCACTGCAGCCTCCACCTCCCAGGTTCAAGTGATAGATTCTCGTACCTCAGCCTCCTGAGTAGCTGGGATTACAGGTGTATGCCACGATGCCCAGCTAATTTTTGTATTTTTAGTAGAGATGGGGTTTCGCCATGTTGGCCAGGCTGGTGTCAAACTCCTGACCTCAAATGATCCAACTGCCTTGGCTTCCCAAAGTGCTGGGATTACAGGTGTGAGCCACTGCATCCAGCCAACAACAGATTTTCATTGTAGATGAAACAGCCTCATATGAGAAGATGTCATAGAGAACTTTCATAGCCAGAGAGAAGTCAATGCCTAATTTCAAAATTTCAAAGGACAGGCTGACTCTCTTGTTAGGGATTAATGCTGCTAGTGACTTTAAATTAAACCGATTGCCCATTTCTTATTCTGAAAATCTAACAGCCCTTAAAAATTATGCTATATCAACTCAGCCTGTGCTCTAGAAATGGAACAAGATTAGATGACAGTGCCTCTGTTTACACCATGGTTTACTCAATATTTTAAACCCATTATTGAGATCTACTGCTTAGAAAAGATTCCTTTCAAAATACCATTGCTCATTGATAATGCGCCTAACCAGTCAAGAGCTCTGATGGAGACATATGTACAAGCAAATTACTGTTGCTTTCATGCCTGCTAACACAACATCCATTCTGCATCCCACAGATCTATTGTTCTGTCTCCCTGTCCCAGCCTTACAAGTAATTGTGAAACAACCAATCTTCTTTTTGTTGTTTCAGCTTCCTTAAGTCCTTACTGTCTATAAAGTCAACCTCCAACTGCTCAATTCATTGAGCACTTATTTTATGGAATAAAGTATTACCTGAATCCAGAATCACAATAAAGCTAAGTGAGGTCTTTAAACTAAACTTAGTTGTAATTTTTTCTTTTGACAGGGTTAAAGCTAAAAAGTAGCAGAGCCAGGAATCAAACTGGGACAGTTTACTCCAGAGTCCATGTTCTTAATTGTTATACTACACTGCTTCCCACGGTAGGGTTAACAGTCTATAAAAGGTATTATCTGAGATCTGTGAGATATGAGAGTAATTCTGAGTCTAAATAAAATAATTAAGAATTTTCTAGAAAGCATCAAGAATTGTATATTTTTACAATTTTGAAAACTGAGATTCAATAAAATAAGAAATTAAAAGTCCTTAAAAATTAAAAATGGGAACCCAAAAATAACACTGTTCACAGTTTGCTTATTGGCCACTGATTAGCAGTGCAACTTGAAAAATAGCTGACTCTCTTTGGTTTCTGTGCCCTTAACTTTAAAATAATGAGAGTAGCCTAGATTATTCCTTCAGTCTTGAGCTACAACTCTGAAGGTGGGTTTTTGTTGTTAATTTGTTTTTAACCTTGGCTCTGGGATGTTTTTATGAACAGGATTTTTTTTTTTCTTTAAAAAAAAATCAACTATTTTCTAGAACAGTTTTAAACTCACATAATTACTGTAAAAATGGTAGATAGGTTCCATATACCCTGAAGCAATTTCTCCTTTTTTTTTTTTTTTTTACCTTTTACATTAGTATGTTGTGTTACATTAATGAATCAGTGTTGACACATTATTATTAACTAAATCCATGCTTTATTCAGATTTCCTTAGTTTTTACTTAATGTCCTTTTTCTGTGGCAGGATCCCATTCAGGACACCATATTACTTTTAGTCTTCTCTCTTTAGGAGCCTGTTGTCTACAAGAGTTTCTCAGACTTTCCTTGGTTCTGATTATGACATTTTGAGTACTGGTCAGGTATTTTGTAGAATGTCCTTCTAGGATTTGTCTGATGCTTTTCTCACAATAAGACTGAAGTGATGGGTTTTTGGGAATAAGACCACAATGATAAAATTCTATTTTCATTACAAGTGAACATATCACCAACTATTACTGCTGATGTTGGCCCTGTTCACCTAGATGAGGTAGTGTTTGTCAGGTTTCTCCACTGTGAACTTAACTCTCTCTTGCCCCCTTTCCATACCATACTCTTTGGAAGAAAGTCACTGTGTGCAAACCACACTCAAGGAGTTATGTTCCACCTCCTTGAGGATGGAGTAGCGACATCAAATTATTAATACTTGGAATACTGCATGCAAGATTTGCCTCTTCTCCCATTTATTCAATTATTTATTCACATCAGTATGGACTCGTGGATATTTATGATATACTTTAAGCTTATACACTAATACCACTTTATGTTCTTGCACTAGTGGTTCAGCTGTGGCCACTGGGAGGTCTTGGAGATGGCTCTGTGTCCCTTTCTAACCCCACCACTGAGGTGTTTGGTTGGTTTTTTTTACACTTCCTTACTTCCTGGCACTACAAGATGTTCCAGGTTTATTTTGTATATTTCCTGTCCTAGTTCCAGAATCAGTCACTTCTCCAAACAGCCCTGGTTCCTTTTATTGGAGAAGGCTATTAGAAACCAAGATCGGGATGCTAGGTGTACTCAAAGTTAGGTTGCTTCTGTGCCCTTTTATCTGACAGAGCAAGGAAATACATGTCTACACATGCATATGTAAATATTTCTAAGTCATCTATACCTACATGAGCTAAACAGTTCATACTGATGTCTCCAACTCTAACTTTTTAATAATTCTGAGGAACTAGCTTCATTCCAGGATTTAATTTTCTACTTAATGTTAAGTATCCCTGGCTCCAGAGTTAACTGCAATATAGAGGAAAGATCTTGGAACTGGAAGGTAAAGCATGGAGCTGAAACACTCCCTTATAACCTATCAGTACCTTAAACTAAGATTATTTGCCTAACTCACAGGATTATGGTGAAGACGAAATGTCAATATGTCTTTCTGAAAATTCTATTAAATAGCATAATTATAGTATTATAAACATATACTTGCACTGTAATTTTAGCGCCAACTATGAATGAAGTACCAGAACATCTTTCTGTTATTTTTCAAAAAGCTACACTAGGCCAGACGCGGTGGCTCACGCCTGTAATCTTACACCTGCGGGTGGTGGTGCACGCCTGCAGACCCAGCTACTCCAGAAGCTGAAGCGGGAGGATACCTGAGCCTGAGGAGGCTGAGGCTGCAGTGAGCTGTGATGGCGCCACTACACTCCAGCCTGGGAGACAGTGAAACCCCATCTTGGGACAGCGGCGGGATCGGGGCGGGGGAGGCCCCGCTAATCAACTCAAACATCTGAGCTGGGAGAACCTTAGACTGAAAAAACTATGCTGGTTTTTTCTATGGATCTATGTCTTTGTCCATCACTTATAGGCTGTCTGAGCAGCAGATTTCATGAACGGTTTCATTCATTCATTTATTTATTGATACAGGGTCTCACTCTGTCACCCAGGCAGGACTGTAGTGGCACGATCTGCAACCTCTGCTTCTTGGGTTCAAGCTATCCTCCCCGCTCAGCCTCCCAAGTAGCTGGGACTTACAGGCATGTGGCCAGCATTTACTTTTATTTAGAGACTATACAGAAAGTAACTGCTGTACAGCCAACAGGCCAAATGAGGTTTAATAGCTCACAAATTAACATATAACACTGATGCGGGGGGGGGGGGTCACTGGAGGCCACACAGTGACTGCTGAATATTACCACAGGAATACCTGACTATTTTGGCTGAGAAAGCGCCAGAAGAGACAAAGGTACTGGGTTGAGTGGAACTGTATACATTTTAAATCATTTAATGCTTGCATCAAACCTAAACAGGGTCTTATTTTCATTTTATCGAATAGGAAAACAATCTGAGAAAAACTCAGATGCTGACAACGGGCGGAACCGGGATTAGAACAAGTTCAGCCCGGAGCCTCGGACTCTCAACTTATCGGCCGCAGCAGCCCCTCTCTCCCCACCTCCCTCGGCGACGTTGGGAACCAGCCCTCTGCCGCGCGCCACGGGGCCCGCATCCGGCCCCCGCATAGTCCCCAGCCCGGACGCGGTCCGCCCTCACCCTCGGCGCTGTTGCGGGTCCGGCGGAAGTCCTCTGACCGGCCGTCGCGGAAAGCTCGGCAAAGAGAGAGGCAGAGGAAATCGAGCATCCAGCCGGCAGCCACGGCCTCGGCCTCGGTCACCAGGCCCTCGTCCTCCTCCTCCTCCTCCTCGGGGGCCCCCACTTGCACCTGGCACTCGAGCAGTTCCTGACACTCGAACTGCTCCTCGTCGTTTGTCTCCGTTTCTGCCATCTGCTCCTCGGTAGTGTCGGCATCCCTACCATCCGCACAGCCCCGCGGGCTTGGGGCCGCTGAGGAGGCGTCCTCCGCCATGTTCAATGGCTCGCGCTGGTACTGCCCCTTCGGGCGCCGAGCAACGATTGGGTCGCTCTCGAGGGCACGGGGCGTGGCCGCGGAGAGTCTCTTCCGCCGGCGGGAGATGGGCGAGAGGCTCAAGCCTGGCTTCTGATTGGCCGAGACCTGTTCCTGCCTCTGTGGGGTTGAATTTTCCGCCAGTCTAGGGCAGGGCTTTGTAAGTAAACTGGAGGACCCGGTGCTGAGCGAGGAGTGAGATTAGGATAGGGGGAGGCAGCTTTATCTTCCTTATTCCTTGTAAAATGCAACCTTGACTGGAGCAACAACACGGTTATTTAAAATGAAAACGCATTTGCCTGTAGCCTATTTCAGAAAGAGATGGGTAATGAGAACTTGTCACTGTTAGTAAAGCATAACACTTTTAAACCTTAGTATTCATCTGTTACTACTTGATCAACGAGCCACAGCTATTCCAACAGACTAACATCTGTGCTTCTCCAACCTCAAGATGCATCAAAATCAGCCTGAGGGCTTGCTAAAACACAATTGCTGGGTTCCACTCCCAGAATTCCTGTTCTGCTGGTCTAGCTTGGGGTCCTTGAATTTGACAGTCTAATGCTACTTGGCTGGGCACCACATTTTGAAATCACTGCTTTAGAAAGACTATACTACTAATGGAAATGTATCTGAATCAAGGTTTGAGACGACTATAGGATGCAGTTTGTAGAAAATAATAAGCGAATGCTTATTTTGAATTTTGAAACTTAGCACAAAAGGAAATTCTAAGTGGGGATGGGTGGTCTGGTTATTATTATTATTATTTTTTTCCTTTGAGACAGGATTTCGTTCTGTTGCTCAGGCTGATCTCCAACTCCTGGCCTCGAGTTATCCTGCCAAAGTGCTGGGTTTACAGGCCTGAGCCACCACACCCGGCTCCGTTTTCTGTTCCTTGATGTGGGTAATGGTTACATCAGTGTGTTCACTTTATGAAAATTCACTGAACATCGTTTATGCACTTTTCAGTATGTGTGTGATAACTGACTAAAAAGTTTAATTTAAAAGCTCTTCTGTTTATAAGGCATCCAACATCATCAAAGCCTTTCCACATTTTCACACACTTCTTGTTGTTGTCTTTAAGGTGATACACTTTAAGTGTTGAGTAACTAAGGCACTGTATTCTAGTATTAAGACTGCTTAGGTTGGAATATTCCCTACCAGTTACTCACTAGCTGTGTGACCTTGGGTAAATTATGTCTCAATTTTCTTGTCTGTATAATGTGAATAGTAATAATACCTGCACGATTAAAGAGCTTAGTAAATGTAAAGAGTTTAAAACAAAACCTCAGCCAGGCACAGTGGCTCACTTTGTAATCCCAGCACTTTGGGACGCCAAGGTGGGAGGATCACTGGAGCCCAGGAGTTTGAGGCCAGCCTGGGCAACATAGTGAGATCTCATCTCTACCGAAAAAAAAAAAAAAAAAAAAAGAGCCAGGGAAATAGTAAGTGCTCAAATAGTGTTAGCGTTAGCAGGAAGAGCAGAATATTTGTGCTGCCGGGAAAAATGATGATGCATGAGAAGAGATCTCTTCTTCAGGCTCTAATGGTCCCATGGGAAGTAAGTTCTGTTTTGAAATAACACAGTGGAATGGGGATAGAGACTAAGGGAATACGGGCTACAGCACATTATGAACCTAGTATTATGGACTGCATATTTGTTTTCTCCCAGATTTGCATGCTGAAGCCCTAACCCCCAGTGAGATGGTATTAGGAGGTAGTGCCTTTGGGCTGGAGTGGATTAGGAAAGAGAATCCTGTGTGATTTCGGTGATTTAAAAGTCATCCCTTGAGTAAAATTATATTTCTTGCAAACCTGAGTTCATGGAGTAAGACTCACAAGTATAGTTGACTTTACATCATTTAATGGGACTGTTATGAGGGGAGAGATTCAATCTGTTTTGTGATGATCCTAAGAGCACCGCCTGAAACCAAAGATTGAAGGTTTGGGGTAGCAGATTTGACTTCATATCCCACATGGTTCCTAACCATTCAGGCTTTCCCACAGTAAAGTGCCGATTTCTACTGCCAGGTACTGATTTCTCACCATTGGAATCATCGATGATCCTGTGATCATGGTATCTCCCCTGCCAGGTAAGCACACATCTATGATTCTGGATGCCAGTAGGCAGAGATACTGTGGAAAGATTCCCATAAAACCTAGATAACATTCCCCATGCTGTTGCATTTCCCAAGACTGTTTTCGATTTGGACTATTTCCTAAACAACACTTTGAAATCTATAAGTTTCCTAAATTCTTATGTCTACCATATTAAATAATTGTGTTTTAACCCATATTTTAGTCTATCCCATTGCTAATATAAACTAATGGTCTCATTATGAATTATATACATTGCTTTATTTTTGCATTTATAAGTGTCTCATCAATATCCAAACTACATATGTACTTATGAAACATCCTTTATTGAGTACCTGTTATGTGAAATGTACTGCGCTAGGATGATGCATGGTAAATATTGTAGCAGCACGAGCTGCAGACAAAACTCCTCAGACATCGAGTTAAACAAGGAAGGAGCTTATTCGGCCGGAGGCATTGGCAAGACTCCTATCTCAAGAGCCGAGCTCCCCGAGTGAGCAATTCCTGTTCCTTTTAAGGGCTCACAACTCTAAGGAGGTGAGCGTGAGAGGGTCGTGATCAATTGAGCAAGCAGGGGGTATGTGACTGGGGGCTGCATGCACCAGTAATTAGATCAGAACAAAACAGGAGAGGGATTTTCACAGTGCTTTTCTATATGATGTTTGTAATGTATAGATAACATAACTAATTAGGTCAGGGGTCGATCTTTACCAGGCCCAGGGTGTGGTGCCGAGCTGTCTGCTTGTGGATTTCATTTCTGCCTTTTAGTTTTTACTTTTTCTTTCTTTAGAGACAGAAATTGGGCATAAGACAATATGAGGGGTGGTCTTCTCTCTTAATATAAAGATACTACTCCTCTCCATAAAGAATTATAGACCAGTTGGGAAGACAAGCAACACACACACATTGTACATAAACATCAGACTAATGAGTGATGCTAACAGTAACCCTAATAGGAGTTTGGTGGAGGTGCAACCAACCAACGGATTCACCTTGCCCACTGCCTAGACAGGCTGATTTATCAAGACAGGGGAGGGAATTGCAATAGAGAAAGAGTAATTCATGCAGAGCCAGCTGTGTGGGAGACCAGAGTTTTATTATTACTCAAATCAATCTCCCCGAAAACTCGAGGATTGGTGTTTTTAAGGATAATTTGGTGGGTAGGGGACCAGTGAGTCAGGAGTGATAATTGGTCGGGTCAGAGGTGAAATCTTAGGGAGTCAAAACTGTCCTCTTGTACTGAGCCACTTCCTGGGTGGGGGCCGCAAGACTAGATGAGCCTGTTTATTGATCTGGGAGGTGCCGGCTGATCTATCCAGTGCAGGGTCTGCAAAATATCTCAAGCACTGATCTTAGGTTTCACAATAGTGATTTCATTCCCAGGAGCCATTTGGGGAGGTTTAGAATCTTGCAGCTTCCAGTTGCATCACTGCTAAACCATAACTTCTAATCTTGTAGCTAATTTGTTAGTCCTGCAAAGGCAGTCTAGTCCCCAGACAGGAAGGGGGTTTATTTGGGGGAAAGTGCTGTTATATTCTTTGTTTCAAAGCTAAACTATAAACTAAGTTCCTCCCAAAGTTAGTTTGGCCTACACCTAGGAATGAACAGCTTGAATGTTAGAAGCAGGGTGTTGTCGGTTAGGTCAGACCTCTTTCACTGTAATTTCTCAGTTATGATTTTTGCAAAGGTGGTTTCACAGGGAGAGTGTCTAAGCCAGAGGGATTTCATTAAAAAGGTTTGAACAGAGATGCAGAGGGGAGAAACCTGGGTATAAACTGATTTTTTTAAAGTAAATTTTACAGGGCCTAAAACACTAGTTTTGCTATCCTCATAAATAGTTCTCAACCTCGACCGCATGTCACATGTTCTCAGTTGGCCGAGTTATACTTCGTATTCACTAAATCAGAATTTCTAAGGGCAAGGCTCAAGCATATGTGTTTTTCAAAGTATCTCTAGGTGATCCCAATATAGAACCAGGGTTGCTAGCTACCGAACCATACACATAAAATGAACCACTCCATTTTGAGGTAGTGGACATAATACAATAATAATGATAAAGAAACACATTCCTACTCGTGAAGACTTCCTCCCTTTTCGGAATCAATAAAGTAATGCCCAAGGACTGAAGGAATGTTTTGAGTTTAAAACAAAGCAGGTTTCAGGAAGAGAAACATTATTTTAGGCAGTTCTAATCATTTAGAGCTTTTAACATATTTAAAAGATCTTTGTGACCCCTTGAGATTTTTTTAAGTTGTTTCATGCATTACAGGATCTGAGTGTAGCGTGAGTCTGACAGAATACAGGCACTGTGGTGGTGCGGGCTCACTCTGCAAGAAAATGCAGTTCATTGAAAACTGGAACCCAGGACTGAGTCTCCATGGTCATTTTGTTTGATTGTTTTGTTTAAAAAAAAAAAAAAAAAAAAGGTCCAGGTACGGTGGCTAACGCCTGTAATCCCAGCACTTTGGGAGGCCGGGGTGGGCAGATCACCTGAGGTAGGGAATTCAAGACCAGCCTGACTAACATGGAGAAACCCGGTCTTTACTAAAAATAAAAAATTAGCCGGGTGTGGTGGCGCATGTCTGTAATCCCAGCTACCCGGGAGGCTGAGGCAGGAGAATCTCTTGAATCCGGGAGGCGGAGGTTGGGGTGAGCTGAGATTGCACCATTGCACTCCAGCCTGGGCAACCAGAGCGAAACTCCATCTCAAAAAACAAACAAACAGAAAACAGACAAAAAACCTTCTAGTGTATGCCGTTATCAAGTCCTTGGTTAGCCAATATTTTTAATAAAACACATATTCCAAAAGCAAAAGCAATTAACATTGCGTGTGAGTAAAAGAATATGAATACAAACAGCTGGGGACCTAGGGGAAGAATCCCGTTTCCACCCCTTG